TGGGTGTTCTCTACAGTGTTCACAATGCACCAGAATGTTATCATTGTGAACCTGGATAAGCCTGAGAGGAGCTGCTCATATTACACTGCATCATTACAACATAACAAACAACACACTCACATAAAACCACCCTACGCCAACAACCTGAGATACACTGCCAATAATCCTACAACAATCACGTTGAGGAAACCCAAGCATTGTGAAGTAAAGCAGTAAATATTACATAACACACAGCAGAGTGGAGTGATTCAGACGCAGACCTTTAAATGCTTTTAACTGTGGCCTGAGGAAAGACACGCTGGCTAAAAATGAAGATGCTGAGTCACTGTCTGAAGAATATTCGGTGGGCTTAATGCTGAACTGAGAAGCAAAGGAGCAGGACGTGGGGTTAAAAGCAGGTGATCTACTAAACTGTCTCGAAGCCCAGTTTCTAATGTGGACAGGACTTCTATTTTGATCCTTTAATCTCGCTGCTGGCCCAAATTCACAGTGTGTGATTATAAACACACAGCTTACTGTATCTGTCCTTGAAAATGCTCTAAATATTGAAAATTAAATGGAGATTAATTCAGGAAGCGTATGTTGGAATTATGTATGGATAAGTATTTGTTTTTGCACATTTTTACTTTAAATTACATTTAAACTGGTATTTACCTAAAAACCTATTTTTTTAACACAAAAACCTATTATTAAATATTGTCTGAACACAAAAACATATTATTTGTAAACCAAACCTATTATTTCATATTTAATACAAAAACCTATTTTTTTATTTTTGGAACACAAAAACCTATAATATTAAATATTGTCTGAACACAAAATCCTATTACTTGAAAACCAAACCTATTTTTTTTTAAACACAAGACAATTATTTGATTTTTTAACACAAACACCTATTATTTAATATTTTTGAACAAAAAAACATTTAAAAATCAAACCTCATATTTATTTATTTTTTTACACAAAAACCTATTATCTAATTTTTTTTTATCATTTAATATTTTTGGAACACAAAAACCTATTATTTAATATTTTTAACACAAAAACCTAGTATTAAATATTGTCTGAAGTCTGAACACAAAAACCTATTATTTGAAAACCAAATCCATTATTTAATATTTTTGGAACACAAAAATGTATTATTTGAAAACCAAAACAAATATTCAATATTTTTAACACACAAATATTTTATTTAATATTTTTGTAACATAAAAACCTATTATTTAATATTTTTGGAATACAAAAACCTATTATTTGAAAACCAGACTTAGCAGCAGCACAAAGCAAATGGATCAGGGTGAACTGAAGTATCCTGATGAGTCTGTGTTAATCGTTTGATCGGTTGTTATCTGGAAATAACATACCTGGGAATGTTGATTGGCCAATCACAATCAAGTTTTGCAGAGAGCAGTGTAGCAATACGTGTTAACATGAATCAACAATGAAGTATTTTTTTAAATCTATAAGATCAAGTTAATCTCAGTAATTACTAATACATTTTAGCATCAAATGTATTTGTTGACATTAGTTAAAGAGACAGTTCACTAAAAAAGAAAATTCTCAACCAATTTAATCCTCAAGTTTTTTTCTTCTTCTGTTGAACATGAAACAAGAACTTTTGAAGAATTAAGCTGCTGGTTTAGAAGAACAGCATATATATATAATAACAATAATAATAATTATATATATATATATATATATATATATATATATATATATATATACATAAAATTTAATTTGATAAATATTTTTTAATATTATTATTATTTAGTAATAATATTATTAAAATATAATTTTTTATTAATATTTTACTTTTTTGTGTGATTTACATCACAACATTTTGCATACACTAATTTAAAACTTTTTAATCTTTTTCATAGTGATTTGCAAAAGTTAAGATTATTTTATTGCTTTTTAAAAAATGAATTTCTTAAATATCCATTTATTTGATCATCTTAGCAAAACGTTTGACAGTTTTACACCTTTTTATTTGATTAAATTATCCATTACTTATTTTCTATTGATTTTAAACATCATTAGTATTGTTAAACTTGTGTTATCATCTCCATTTTAAAGCCTTTTTGTGCATTGCATTTTCTCTTGCAGAACCATGAGGAACCTCAAACTCTAATTTATGAAAAATATTAATCATTTAACCAGCATTAATAATAATAAATTATACTAAAATGTTCCCAATAAAATATGTATCCATCCAGAATATGCTTCTAGAAGTCCTTTGCATTTCATTACAGACCTCCTGCACATCCATTCAACCAGATTATCAAATATCAAATCTAGGTTATGGCTAAAACTCCATCAAGTTATAAATAGCACACATAATCCTTGCAATATCACACAAACCACCAGTGAACATCCTGAAATCAGGCATTCCTTATATAAAAAAAAGAGTTGATTCAAACACACACACACACACACACACACACACATATACTCACGCTGCAGTGTGCTCTCCAGCTCCGAGCCTGCCTGCAAAAGGTTATAATAGCCCTCCATGTCTTTTTGGGGCTCCGGAGGAGAGGCCGAGCCCATTCCCTGGCTGTTCCCGGAGAGAGGTGTGACTCAACTCTGAGCCCGTCCAGGCCTTTACATCCCACTACTCCACTCAGAATTCATTGTGGACAACATCCACAGATCCCAAATGAGGATTCGCTTCAGTCACCTTGAGCAGGAACAAGTGCATCAGCAAACTCCAAACGCTGGAGGAAAACCGCTATCCGGAAAGATCAGTCTGCTGCAGCCCGAGGTGCCACTGCAACATCACATCTCAGCTTACAGAAACCACACACATACACAAAGTGAATAGGATTAAAAGGGTTTCCCGTCCACAGTGCTGACGGTCTGAAAACACACTAACTCCTGAGTTGGAGTGCGTCAGATCTGCATCGCTGTTGGACTGACTATTGACACTCTGCCAACTCCCTCCCCATTGACTTTCTCCAGTGTGGAGTAGAGGGCACGCCTCCCGCTGAGCTTCAGGTTTCTCATTGGTCACCGGGAGTGGCTTCTCTCACTGCTGTAAAGGATCTCTGCCTGCTGTATTACACCCAGATTCAGGCTTACTCGCTCTTACAAACACACACACACACAGAGACAGAAAGAGAAAGAGAGAAAGGCAAGCTGTTCTGAATATCACTATTGACAGCAAAACTATTTTCTCTTCCTAGACTGAAGAGTTTCATTGTTCACAATACAGAAAAGTATGACGCGTGGGAAAATTGCGCAAAGACAAACAGCTGCATGAATAAGAGGCATTGTAATCATGTCCTTGAGACACTAGTGGTTTTAAATTACATATGGTAAATACAGTGTGCACATCCTTTACAAGAGAAATACAGCACAAACATAACACAAAGATAACATCTTATTGACTATTTTTAATGATAAAACCCACATTAAAACCAATATTATTTTATACATACATTGCCATTGAATTCAACTTTCATGCATGAACAACTAAATTGTAGGTAAAAGTAAAGGACTATCCAAGCTATATACTGTAGCTAAAGCAATACTATTAAAGGGCACCTATTTTACCCCTTTTTCATGATTTAAGATAAGTCATTTGTGTCTCCAGAATGTGTCTGTAAGGTTTCAGCTCAAAACACCCATAAGATTATTGATTAAACCTTTTAGAAGTTTGTAATTTTCAGCTTGTAGCTGATTTTGTGGCCTGTGCCTTTATTGCTAGTTCTACTCGCTCACCATTCACACGTGCCTGTCAGAGTATGCCTCAAACTTCGGCTGCGTCAGATAAACAGCACAGTGACAGACATGAAGGAAGCAGATCTCGCGTAACATTTGTGAGAAATTCTACAGTGAGAACTTTCCCAATGATTATTTGACGTATTTGTTGTTGAATTAATTCAAGCCTTTCTGCAATGATGAGTCAGCCACAAACACAGTGGGGACACACAACTTGCGCTCTAAATTTGCACTGTTTTTGCATGGCAAAACAAGATATACATTAATATCCATGTATGTATGGATATCCGTTATGTTAATGTACAAAATAAACCTGGTGTAACATCAACAAACAAGGATTGAAGCACATTTTTTTAATAATTGTACTGACATGCAGCTGTGGTGATAAAGATGGTAAATCACTGTAATTTATTACAAACGTACAGTTTTAAAATGTTTTAAACTTGTAAAACTCACTCAATCACATTTGATGATGACTGATGATCAGAGAGATGAACAGATCTTTTATTCCTGGTTGCTTTGCGTCTCGTTGATATGATTGTACGCGTTACTACGCAGACATGTTAATACGCAGCTGCTAATCAATATATTGGGCAGGGAAACTATTGCTATTGTATGTCACGTTGCAGTGTACCTCAAAATGGGAAGGGTTTGGATCCTATTTGGAAATTAAAAAGAGACTTATTGTGTTTATCACACCAGTATGACTGCGGACACACTATACCTGCACTCAATTCTGTCCAAACACAGCTTACAAAAGATGATTTTCATCAAAGGTGCCCTTTAACTAATAATAATACAAAAATATTATCAATATATCATCATCAGCATTAATTATATTTTATAATACATACAAATAATTATTATAATCCTATACTGTTACTATTGTTATTATTTTATTCAATTATTGTTGTGAACATTGTTATATTATACTGTAACTGCTTTTATCAAAGGTATAGGACATTCAAAGATTTGAGTTCAAAATATGTTTCATTATAGTATTTATTTTAATAATAATATTAATAATGTGTACTACTGAAAATTGATTCACATAAGCAAATATTTTTCTATATCTTGTTTTTGCATTACGACCAGGCACAAATAAATGTACACATGCACAAATACATAATGTTAGATATGTTAAAAATACATATTTACATGTATTTACACATACACACACACACACACACACACGCTCTCTTTTACACACACATAATTAACACAAATTACAACAACAGCTGTCACCCTAGAGACAATAAAGACAACACACAAAAGTCTTCTTTTAAAACAGCTTTTTATTAAAGAAAACATGTTTGAAACAGACTGGTCTTGAGAGGTACATTCAGATCAGCTGGAGCCTGAGGGACATGATGGATGGAGCAGGGCTGACCGTGATGATGCCTGATTCACCTCACATCTCAGCCCCGTCTCACGCTCCACATTCAGGCCGCCTTTCATAGCTTTTTTTTTTTTTTAAATAGTCATTTTCTTTTTCTTATAAAAAGTGCCTCAAAAAGTTTCATTAAAAATACAATCAAATATTTATATAGATATTTTTTTTTCAGGCAACATGAGAATCCAAGAATTATCATAAGCTTTGAAAATAGCATCTCTGAAGTAATTTAAAGGTCTGTTTGGAAATTTCAAACATTGCAGGCAAGTTCTGTTTCCCCCTCCTGAACTGAGCTGAGCAAACGCATGAAGATGTGATGTAGAATGTGTGTATGAGCTCACCAGGGTTCAGTCCAGTGGTGGCATTAGTGGTCACACATGCACTGACAAAAATGAAAAAAGGCTCATGTTGGATTAATGTTCACACTGAAGCACCTCTCCAACCGGACACCCGTCTAGCTGACAAGCAAATATATCCATTCCAGAGCTCTGATACATTTCCTCTAGAAAGCTGATTCACAAACAGAAATGAAAAGAAGGCCTGGCGGTACACGCAGGGCTGTGATACAGCTGGATTAAACTCAGCCCAAGATTGAGAGTCGAGCTTAAGATGCTTAGCATCATGACACAGTCAGAGGTCTAACACACACCACTTCCCCATAGATAATCCACACAAACATGCACGCTTGAAGATATAGCTGAAGCTGGAATGGGGCATCTTTCATATGGCATTGTTTAAAAGAAACATAATCAAGAAAAATGCCAGACATCTGCTTTTTTAACACCCATTTTGGACTAGAAGCAAACAGAGTAACAGATCATTCATATTAAAGGGATGCAGATCTCAGCTGCATTCACACTATATACTACAAGATGATCTCTGATCAGAGAAAGAGCCCAGAGCTGCTGGTCTACAGAAACCCAATCTGTTCAACAGCGGATTGCACAGGCAAAACAACAAAACAATTGGCACAAGCTGATAATGATTCACAATTTAAAAAGAGAATGAAAACCTCTGACAAAAATAGAGCATCTGTGAGTAGAACAACAATAGGTACAATAAATATGTCAAATAGAATTACAGTCAAAAACAAAACAATTGAATTATATTCTAAAAAGTGACTGAAATTATGGCACGTAGATTGTAATGGAATGTATTCAGAAGCAAAGAAAGAAGATTGCATGTCCTCTAAACCACTAGAGGGCAGGCTTTAAAATTTACCAGAGCAACAGCTTTGATTTGACCATCATTAAGGACAATTCACACTGCACCAACAGATGCCAATAAATGGGCATAACCCGGATTACAGCATGGTCAGTGGGAGAATACAAGCTCTGATAGGCGGGAAACACAAGTGCTATCTGTCAGTGCAGTGTGATTAGTTCAGTAACTTCTCTCTCTCAAAAAACAAACAAACAAAAAATGTAAAAGTGTATTGTCTGCATGGAGGTGAAGGCATGTTTTCAAGCACTGGCCTGGTACATAAAATGGACGCATTCACAATAAACATCAAACTCAGTTCGAAATACGCAAATAACTGCGCATTGAGGACAAATCTTAATATGTGATGGTTCATCTTCAAGGGTAGAAAAAAATAGAGCCGGTCACCCGCTTTGATAGAATCCTTATCCTTTTTTTTTTGGCATCAAGCAACTTTTCACTAGTACATTTCTCAAATATGTAATCCACCTGTAAACTGATCCCTGTTTCAACAAAGAGTAACAATGAAAGAAAGCAACAGTACATTATAAGAAACATCTTCAGAAATCAAAGTGGTTTTCACTTTCTCACAAACACACACACACACACACACACACACACACACACACACACACACACACACACACACACACACACACACGTACATACAATGTCATCAGGAAAACAAATCCCAGAACTCTTTGTGGTCGAACGAACAGCAAGTTGTTGAAAGGCAGCTTTTATACCCATAGGGTCAGGGCCCTTGTTGCAGCATCTTAAAGAGAGAGCTCACATTTAGGGATCTCAAACAGCTACATATCAAAAAATGCTAAACTACGATTTTGGGATTGCGGTCACACCTGGCAACCGGTCACAAAAGAGGCCCAACTGTCTGCCTACAAATGAAGTAAACCAAAGAGAATGGCGACGGTGGAAAGCTGGACTGTTTTAGGGTGATCATGCAAGGACGTTGGTACATTCGGTAGCAGTTAAGCGCTACTGGCAACTTATCCAAAGACACATTCATCCTGGTAAGGATAAATATGAAAGTCCGGCAGTAGGGAAAGGCAGAACACTGTATGAAAACGTAGTTCTGGTGGAATCGTGCGGGGATGTCAAACTTTGAGAGGACATGAAAGACAAAAGCCTGGTTTGATCAGTTTAAAGTTGGTTCCATTATCGTGTTTGCTTTAAACAGGCAGGAGGAAGAGCAGCGACCCCGTCAGATGCAAGGGTCCCATCAGTAGTCTAAACCCAAAGCCGTCTGTGGACATCAGTAGAGCTCCTTCAGATGCTTATAGGAGAGAGGTGTGACAGCAGCCGTCTGTGGTGCACAAAAAATATCACCACACAAAACTCTTTAGCACACGTCAAAAACAGTGAGAAATCTGGTTAGTTCATCTCGTATTTGATTGATTCGTTAAAAATAACCAAACCAAACACAAAGCCAGATGATTTTGTACACACTACTAACCCAAAATCGAATCAACCTGATCTGCACCAACAAAAAAGCACTTTAACAAACAAACAAACAAGAAAAACATTTTTTAATAAAAAAAATTAAAAAAGAAAAATCAAAGAAAAATCTGGTCAGGAGTGATTCACTCATTTTATTTCGAGCAACAAAAAAGCCCTGATGAAGATCATGATTTAAGGAATGTTCTGGATTTAAAACAAGCTCTATTTAGTAGAAAGGTAAAACCTTTTCTGAAATCTCTGTCAGTCTGATTTTATGTAGCAAGAAAAGAAAAGTTGCAGCTAAATAAAATAAAATAGAATAATAACATTATCTACTATAAAGCAGGTCAGAAACAGTATGATACATAAGTAGAATGTCGAAAAAAGTAAATAAGTTGGCATAAAGCAACTGGATAACAAACATGACAAATGTAGTAAATCCATATTACATTCATAACATAGACTATAGCATGTACACAACAGTTCTGTCTGGTTCTCGAATCTGGTTGGCCGATAACAGTGCGATATTCTGCAAGATCAGAACTCGTACAGCCTATTCACTCTGCCCCGATGAGTGGCAAGCAGAGAACTACAGTTTGACAAATACTGCAACTGTTGGACAACATAATGTACTTTTGAGTCTTTATTAGGCAAGAATGTGGTTGTTTAGATTGTAACTATGCAGTTTATTTTTTTAAGGTTAGAGCCTGTTTTAAATATTTATAGTTTCAAAGATACAGCACGTCTGCATCCATCAGTCTATCATACTGAAGATGGTTGATTTTGTCCATCCACAAGATGGTGACAGAGACCACATAATAAGCCCTAAAACTTAGTATAAAACTACAAACTACAGCTGATCAAATCATGATAATCTGGTGAGTGACATTCTAAGTCTATCTCTCTCTCTTATGTATGTTGTACTGCTGTATTTATACCATAGTAATTGTAGAATGTTGAGTGTGAGATGGAACTTGCATATTAGGAATGTACGTATTTTGGGTTGGTCACTCTTTGTATAACCCCAAGTAACTTTTTGGTTGGCTATCTGTTTGTTTTTCAATGACTATCTTGTTTTCGTTACTGCAGACTAGTTCAGTAAAAAGAAAGGAAGAAGAAATGCCTGAATGTGTTTAGCGTTTCTCCTTAGCAAAAACACAACAGTAATCTGGTAGTGTTTGGTTTGCTTTGCTTTGGCTTTTTTGGGGTTAATTACTGTGATATCCCCAGTGAAATACTGGGAGATATCTCTGTAGACTGATGGCATTTCATGCCGTTCAGATTTATAATCTTAAAATGTGAGCAAAATAACCTGCTTTGTCATCACTTTAGACATTACGTAAGAGAATCATTTAAACACTAGCTCTAAAGTGATGTTGGTGAAGCAGCAATTGCTTCTGCTGTTCTGACATCTGCTGTAGGAAAGTAGTTCCTCATACAAAAGGATTTTGAGACTCTCCGTGTCTGATTTTCTTATTTATATGCATGATTATACCAGTGCCAATATACAGCCATATCACACAGCTATTCATGTGATATAGCTCATATAAATATATATATATATATATATATATATATATATATATATATATTTTTTTTTTTTTTTTTTTTTTTTTTTTTTAAATGAACTACTTCCTCAAGAAATTTTGTGATTTTGTAAGTAGTCAAATTTTAAGTTTAATCTGTAGTTTAAAAAAAGGCATGTTTTGAGTCATCTAGTGGTGTTTTGCTGCAAAACAGTGAGATCTGGATGCTAAAGAATTCTAAAGAAGCCTATGAATGAATCACTGAATCAGTGACTCACTTGATTCATTCAAAGCCCGTTTACCAAAAGTGTTGCACGAAGATGCACAAAACAAAAGCATCTCTTTGGATTTTCTTGAAACTATTTTCATTGTGAAACAGGAAAAAATGGCAAGAACGAGTCTATTATGAGTGAAAAGGGACTCTTGTTCACAAGTTATTATTCAATTTTGAAATATGGGGCATTCATTTGTATAATTCTTTTGGGTGAAACTGTTGGTAAACAGATCAAATTTAATATTAGCTTGTGTCGAACTCAGAACATTCCTTCAGATCATACAGAGCACTTTACCTGTCATTGTGAGTCGAGGGATCCTCTGACAGCTGAGAAGAACAGAAGAGCAAGTTTAATGCTGGTGATTTACCTCCTATCTACAGCCTCACCGATAACGTTTAACAACCTTCACAAACTGACCCCAAAAGCTTTAAGCAAAGGCAAACATGCGAAACAGGCACAGTAGCATGCACAACGCAAAGCATTAATGCAAGGGAACGATCACTGGAACCAAAATACATCCATTCAATGGTTAGACAGCCATTAAGAAGGATTGAACAACCTTATAATGAAATTGAATTAAAAAGATTCAAAAGTAAAAACACAACAACGACCACACCACACAAATACCCACCACATTTAGACAAACATGACACTGTGCTTTCACATTCAGTACTACACATACATTAATACAGCCATACTCATGTTGTCATTCATACACATATAAAACTAGATGAGATGAACTAGAACAACACGACAGAAGACTGGTTTAGTCCGTTAATAAGGGCTCGATCACGGGTTACTGAAGAAGCACATGCAAGACATGAGGGGCGGAGCTTCCCCTGGTCGGCTGAAAGGATTTCTTACGGTTCATGTATTATTTTGCTTTTAATATAAAAATTCAGGAGCAGAATTTATACAAAATTCATTGAGAAATCTCCATAGAGAAAATGCAATAAAACTGTCAAAAATATATACATATAAATATACTGTTGAAAAACGACACTATACACAATTCTAAAACAAGATTCACCAATAACAGCAGCCTGTTGGGTAAAGAACTGTTATACAGTTCATTAGGAATTGTGGAGCTACCTTGCTATTTAACTATATGTAGTAAAGAATTGTGTTCTTTAATAGTATAAAAGAAGTAAGCAAATGCTAAATACAAAAAAATAAGTAAATAAATTGATGTTTTCATCATTAATCTCAGATTTAAATGGTTTGATTGAAGGCTCAAATTTTTACAAAACTGCATATTCTTTTGAGGAAGGCTTGATTTAGTTTTGACGACTATTACGACTACAGCAACTTTTGAAAAAGGCATGATTTATTATTATGACAACGACTATTTCAACTACTACGACTACTACTTTGACTTTTTACCACTACAGCTTTTGAAAAAGGTATGATTTATTTATAACAATGACTATGACAACTACGATGATGACTACTATTAACCACTACTACAATGGCTTTTGAAAAAGGCATGATTTAGTTATAACGACGACTATGCCAACTACTACGATGACTACTACTATGACTATGACTACTACTACTACTACAACAACAACAACAACAACTACGATGATGACTACAACTATGACTATGACTACTACTGCTACTACAACTATGATGATGACTACTACTAACTACTACTACAACGGCTTTTGAAAAAGTCATGATTTAGTATTATGAAGACAACAACTACAACGACTATGACTACTACAACAATAAATACTACTAACTACTAATATGACAACTTTGGAAAAAGGCATGATTTATTTATTATGACGACGACTACTGCAGCTACTACGATGACTCCTACTGCTATGACGACTTTTGAAAAAAGCATAATTTATTTATGATGACGCCTACTAAAACTACAATGGCAACTCTTACTACTATGACTTTTGAAAAAGGCATGATTTATTTATGACGATGCCTACTACAACTACTACTAACTACTACTAAGACAACTTTTTTAAAAAGGCATACTTTATTTATGACGACGACTACTACAATTACTACAACGACCATGAAGATGTTTACTACAACTACGAATTTTAAAAAAGGCATAATTTATTTATTATGGTGACGACTACTAGGATGACGACTATTACTACTATTATGATGACAATCACTACGACTTCTGATTCACTGAGTCATTCACTTAAATGGCTCATTTACAAACTCAGTGACGGTCTATATGGTCACTGAATCATTCTCTCTCTCTCTCTCTCTTGAGTAAATCAAAAACAACACTATTCCACGAATGAATCACTGCAGTGTTGCTCTGAGATACACAAATGTTCAGCTCCCACTTTGTTTATAATAATTTTCAATGGCAAAACTGAAAAATTCTAACAATGTTTAGTATAAAATTTTGCAGGATCGATGTCACATTCACAATCAAGTTGATGTTATTGCATTTTCTATGGAGAAAGTCAATGAAAAAAAACTTCTGTAACAACAATCTTTCAAAAAGTGTATGAATGTCGAACTGTAATTTATCATTTCTATCTAAAATACAAAGACTAAAAATCTTTTCAGCCAACTGATGTGAGTTCATCCTGAGTTAATGAAAATTTCCAGAGAATTTGTGGGAAATTAAGGGGATCCCACAGAGGGGCCGACTGAACCCAAAGGGAGGAGAAACTGCACCAACTAGTAGGCAAATCCCTTGTGGAAAACTAGGGTCAGGCACTTAATTGGGGCTCGGATTGTAAAGTCTGGGGTCTTGTACCTGTTCATATGACAGTATTGGACTCATCTGAAAAGGTTCTCATGAGCAGGGGTCTGGCTGAAGACTGAGAGGACGGGATGCCCCCAACGTTCGACTGACCCGGCTTTTTCTGAAAGGGGGGTGGGGGGTGAAAGACACTTAGGACACGATGGATCAGACAGGCACATACACACACCCAAACATACAACTGATGTATATTCTCCTTCAAAAGAAGACAGAACACTGTGAAGGACGTTTGGAATTATCAAATTTCATAGGGCACAATGATGTATTCATATTTTAAAATAAATACAGATCATCTTTCAGAGTAGAATTAAGAATGGCTATTTTCTAACACAATGCCTCTCTGTTGAACTGGATTAAATGATCAAAAAAATAAAGGTTTGCTAACACTCACACAAAACATTCACACAAAAATCAGACATGTGACCAGAGTAAATTTTAAAATATATTCAAATTAAAAGCAAAATAGAATTGCAATAATACTACACAATAATAATACTATTGTTGTTATCAGGGCTTGACATTAACTTTTTTGATCACTGTGTCTAGTAGTTTTCCAACATTTCGAGCCACTTGCCATTTTTACTTGCCAATATATTTTATATGCATAAACTTGACTTTGGCATGGTAAAAATTTCTATTTTTAAAATTTTGTGTTATGTCCACATGCCACCTCAATAATTTATCTTTTTCATTTTTTATTTCACAGGACTTTTTAGGACTCAACTCTAAGGATTTATCAATTTATTCCCTGGCCATGTTAACAAACTGTAAGCAAAAGAAAGCAGGTGAAAAACATTCTGTGCACAATAGTGAAAGGATGATCCCGTGCACAAGGTTAACGTTAGGCCTATTAATAATCTGTTCAAAGATTAGTAAAAGCAAAAGCGGCAACCACTGCAGCTTACAAAAAATCTGGAGATCTCTTGAAAGCAGCAGGACTGTGGGTGCATGAGCACTGCTTTTTCCAGTCCATTTCAAAGAGAAGCGATCAAATCCAGTTGCGTTTCCAGGCACGGTTGTTTTACGCAAGAAAATGGTAGCTTTTAAGCAATCGCGCGCATTACATCAGCTGTGCCTCACTCACGTGAGCTAAGATTGTGCCAGTGAGCTAAGATTGTCTGTGTCTCACCGAGTGCCTGATCTTTTTCTCATTCGGTATGACCTCTCATTTTCTCACTAATAATGGTCATAAACGAAAATTTCAATCTTCAGGGACGAGGCAGCTCTGGCAATTTAAACATTACTTTTTAACCAGCTAAAGTGGCTAATGGAGGTGTCTGTCTAACCCGTCGCATGTGAAATCTACCAGCATTTGGTGGGTTCGCGGGTGTTAATGTCAAGCCCTGGTTGTTTTTGTATTTCTAGTAAATAAATGCCTTTGTTAAATTAAGAGACTTCTTTTAAAAACATTTTACAACTCCTACCAATGCCACTAATCATGAATACAAAATTTACGCAACATTTTTTACCAATATTTTATTGATTTCCAGTGGCAAAGACCCCAAAGCTATCCCCCTGTAATTTGTATTTATTTACACGAGGTGTAATTTGAAAAGATAAAATAAAATAATACAATTAAAGATAATAAATATGTTTATTAGGATAAGCGATAATAATTATATTAAGTGTGTTAACTAATAACAATACACTGCTGAGGCAGAAAAAGCCACTGTTTGGATTTGCAATGCAAATACTTCAGAGCCTATAATTGTATTTTTACTGCCGTGATCCTACCCTGTTACAAACTGATGCAGTGTGCAGCATTATAACTCTTGTGAATTGACAAATCCTATCATATTTAAGATGACAATGCCCATATTCATTTGACCTTCCTTATTTTTAAATAAATAACTTAATTCTCACATATGAAATGTGAGCTGAACATCACTGACATTTTAATTTGTAAGTGAACTGCTTTTGCTTTCTTAAACCGAAGCAGTGCCTCTTTTTTTCTATTTCTTGGTCAGGCAGTGTAACACCATGTCCTAACAACACATGACCAATCATCTTTTCCATTTTAAAAGGAGTTTTTATCCAAACCATCTACAGTGGTAACATGCAAACGTTCTATTTTAGAAACAGCTTCTGTGACATCGCAGCTGAAAAACAACTTACACTACAATGACAGTGATCACCTCAGATTCTGATTATGTGCTTTATTCATCCTGAATGTCACTGGTATTTAAATACAGGTTGTGTCATATCTGGTGAGGACACCCAAATTGCATGTCACTAGTAAGTTGCCATTTTACAAGTAGTTAGGACACGGTGTAAGTTATTGTAGTGTCTTTTAACCTTATAGTGTTCGAGGATTCAGCCCAAGGTAATCCAAGCCATAATTTACAGGTATCCAGAAAGGCTAACGGGTTTAATCACATTTATTTTTGGGCAATGCTAAAAAATAAATTGAAAAAACAAAACAAAAACTATTTGACAAAATAAGCACTCGCTCTCACATTCATCCAAAATCTCACTCTGAATCAACCGGCACGATGCACCCGCAACAGAAGGTGACAGTGGTTTGGGTGGGGAGTGTTGCAGGCCGGGCCGAACATGCATGCAGGAAGACCCTGTTTGTTTTAAGTGCTCCATTCTGCTGGCTGGACATGCAGAGACAGCAGGCACCGAAAACAGGCAGCCGAAGGAATCCCCCACCATACCCTGCAGCCCTTACAGCTGACCACCCAACCGCCACCACGGCTCAGCTCACAACTCTTGCCTCAAAACACAACACAACGCCACCACGATACACATTCTGACCCGACAATCCAAACCCAGCACTCGTGACAAACACATTTGTGCCAGAGCAGAACAACCTTTTTTTTTGCTTGCAAAGAACAACATCTCACAAACAGGTGGAGAGACGGCAGGCAGGACACTGAAGATACAGACAGGAGGGACAGTGAGACAAAAAGCAGAAGAGGAGCAGGCAGAGAGACCTCAGTCGCTCCAGGAAAAGCTGTGAGTGCTAGCAGTCTGCGACAGCATGAAGATAGTGGACGTCCCAGAGGAAGGAAGCCGTCGTTTCATCTATAGCACAGCACGGAGGAGAGGCCAAAGAGGACAGGAAAATGAAAAAGAGATCAAGGGTGAGAAAGGGTGGTAGAAGAGTAGAGGGGAAAAACGCAAGTAGATATTAAAAGAAACTCCTTGAACTTTCAGTATGTGCAGTTTGATTCAGCAGATCAGCATGAATAAGGCTTTCAGTAAGGTAGAAACACACTAACTATTCTGGTGGTGAAAGACGTGTGGTCTGTAGAGTAGAATAATAAACTCAGATTTGTTCTTAATTTAGTTTAACCTTTAAATGCATTGTCGTTCACAAGTTTGGCAACAAAAATATTTTTTAAACAGGTTTTGTGCGCATCAAGGCTACATACGTTCAGGAAAAATACACTTCAATGTAATACTGTGAAAAATTATTGCATAAAATTATTGCATATAAAAAACATAAATGTCAAATGTAATTTTTTAATGTGATGGCTAAGTTCAGTTCAGTTCATTTGACTTCATAAGTTAAGCTTCATTATCAGCAATCTCCAAGGTCACATAATATTTTTATAACTTTATTTATTATGAGTGATTGACTTTGTGCTGCTTCATATTTTTAAATAGTTTTCTTTGATTAATAAAAAGTCTTTAAAACTATTTTGATGCGACATTAAACAACTTTACTGTCACTTTTAAATAATTTAACAACAGAATAAAATGATAAAAGTTTAATTAATTAAATAAATAAATACAAAGGGCCCTATCACACACCTGGCGCAATAAGGCGCAAGTCATGGTTGGCGCGATTTGTTGCTATTTTCAGACCAGAGCAACCCTAATACCAACGTTTTGCACCATGTTGTTTAATTAGCCAATCCATTTGTGCCACTTTGTGGACTTATGCGTGTTCCGGTCTAAAAAGGAAGTGTGTTAATGCATTGTTTGTATGTTGCTATATTGAAGAACTGAAATAAACAGCGACACTGACCATCTGACAGCCGGTCTAAAGTCCAGCTAAGAGCACTTTAGTTATGCGCCTATGCAGGTCCAAAGTGCTAAAAGCTTGCTAAATACACACATGATGTACAGCATTACACAAATATCTTTACATAAAGAAAAAATAAAGGATTATTATTTTTAGCTGAATTATTTATTATATGCATATTTATATATTTTTAATAAACACGAAAGTAAAGGAGTAGAGTAATAGTAAAGAGGAAGCAAACCTCGCGCTGCAGATGGTCTGTTTAACTGCTTTCTCTCTAGTAAAGCATTCAGTTTTCCAAAGTCAGCCATGTAAATGGCAAATGCACCATGGCGTGACACAACTGACTCTTAAAAGAATCGGAGATAAGACTCTGATTGGTTTAATGCATGTTATACTAAAAAACTCATTAAGAGAATAAGCACAACCCTGTTAGACCATGCTCCAGGAAAAAGTGAATTCGGACACACCCTTAATGCTTTTGTGCCATGTGTTTTAGACTTTGCACATTTGTCCTAAATCTTTTTGACTTCAAAAATCTAAAAATCGACATGCCTGACTTAAAAGTGCATTAAAATGCAAATAAATGCACACTTTTTAATAGCAGCGTTTATTTTATTACTTTGCATGACTTTACTACTGTCGATTACTTGTTTCATGTTTGCTGTACAAGCATGTTTCTGCATATGATTTCTCTGGCTTTGCATCACACTCACACAGGGCCTTTATACTGGTCAGTAAAAATCATGTTACAGTTGAAATCATGAATTCTTAAACCCCCTTTGAATTTCTTTTTTAATTTTTTAAATATTTCCTAAATTATAGTTAACAAAGCAAGGAAATTTAACAGTATGTCTGATAATATTTTTTCTTCGGGAGAAAGTCTTATTTGTTTTATTTTAGCTAAAATAAAAGCAGTTAAAAAAAACAAAAACATTTTAAGGTCACAATTATTAGCCCCTTAAAGCTACATATTGGTTTGTTAGTCTACAGAACTAACCATTGTTATACAATAACTTTCCTAATTACCCTAACCTGCCTTTTAATTATTATTAACCATAATTGAAGTTGACTATATAAACTGCATAAATATTAGATTGTGACCATACTTCACCCTGCTGCTCTTTTTAATTGACACGCATTATTCTTGGAAGGGACGTGGCACCTACCTGTGAGGTGGCAGGGGGAAAGATTAGCACCGTATGCTCATCTCTGACCTGAAAGCCTACTTAGCCAGCGTCACTAATAGCAGCATGTGTGCGCTCACTTCCTCTAAATAATTGAATGATTGGAGAGGTCTAATTATTGTTTATTGACTCAAACTGTGGTACATGTTAACTGGTTGGGTAGCCACTGACAGCAGCTAAGGGTGATGGAAGTATTTGCGCTTGACTAACAGAAGAAAGGTCATTTAAATAAGAGCGATACGCCAGACAAACAGCCACAGAAGTCGAGGACATCGAAGAAGAGTGATAGTAACAATTAGACCCAATGACTTCCTGTCTGTTTGACCAATCAGAATGATCCAAATCATTCAGAGGCCTGCAACGAGCTCTGTTAGGAAGAAAAGTCAATGGTGCATTTAATGACAGTCAAGTGGAAGAAAAACAGAGACCGGAGGTGAAGGAAAAAAGGTAAAAAATGAGAATGTGTGTGTGTGTGGCAAAGACAGAGGGTGTTCAAAGAAAAAAGTTATTTAGTGTGCTAACCAGGTGTGACGTGATAAAGCAACAAGTAATAAAAGTGTCCTCCTGTCCATGTAAATCAGAGTTTTTGTGCTAACCAGCCGTGACCACACCAAGTGACCAGGCATTTTGCCTGCCAACACTGGTTCCAAAATCCTTCTTCACATTAAACTTCAAATATCCTCTAATTGGCTGTGACTGTGTTGTGACACGCCTGGTTAGGACACAGTGGAAGATGAAAGAAGAACAGAGGAGAGGTAAACCTGGGAGAATGAAATGCATATTGTGGAAATGAGAGGAAAAGAGAGGAATGGTATACAGTACCTGTCGTGAATGTGGTCCTTTGGGCTTTCGAAGCACCGCCAAGAGGATTTCTGGCAGCAGACTGAGGAGGATGAGGATGATGATCACCAGCCACGCGGACACGGAACTGAGCATGTTAGCGAACACAAAATACAAACGCTGCTGCTTCAAAAATGGCCTGGGAAATATGAGAGGGAGAGAAGGAAAGAGAATGCAAGTTAACCTTCTATGGCATGGTGTTGCCCTCAGGCAACAAACTAGTTTTTTTGGCCCACAAAACACCTCTTTAGTTTTTTTCTTTAAGTGCAAATTTCACACACAAAAAAAAGTCTAATATTAAGTTGGTGACCAATGAAATTTGAGGTGGGTGTGGATCTAAGCTTTTCTTCTGGGGGCAAAAGAGCCATTTTTGGGACCATGATCTGCTTGAGCACACTGCTAGTTATCACCATAATGTACATTTTTGCTACACAGTATACCAGTGGTTCCCAACCTTTTTTTCGCCTGAGACCCCCTTTTCCCCCACAAACTATTGTAAGGCCCCCCTCCAACATTACTAGTGGGGAGCACATTTTATGATTTATTAATTATAAGGGACCCACAAATTAGGGTAAAGTTTGTTTATTCGTGGTAAAAAAAAGCCACCTGGAAATTATTCACAATAGGGATGAAGCACAAAAGCAGACCTTTTTTTTTTTTTGAACGTTTCTTATTTTAATATATTTTTTGCCTTACTGGCATATATCTTTTTCTTGTTTGATGTATTAAGTGGAAATTAGTAAAACAATGAGACAAGTAAGCTTTCTTTTCAAACAAATATATCCTTATAGGGGAAGCAAGACAAAAATATTGAAAACAACAGTTTTTTTCTGTAGCCTGAATTTTCATGAAAATTTTTATCCAAATATAATACTTTTAAATGAAATTCTTGTAGATTTAAAGATATAGGTACTTTAAAATTGTAATATTAATATTACATCTAAAAAGATGAAAAGTGTAGTTTCCAGTGTTGTTTGGAACAGTCTGATAATCATAAAATCGGTTTGTTTTTAGTATTAGTGTAGAATTTAAGATTTATCAAAGATTATAATGCTAAAAAGATTATTTACAATTAGATTTTAAGTGAAACTAGTAAAAAAAATAGACCAACAAATTTCTGACGAGAACAGTGACATTTCACTTTATTGTGACCCTGGATTAACACCCAAGTTGATTTTGGAACATCATTTCTGTTTGAAAATGTAATCCATACCTATTCCCTACCCCTAAACCCAACCATAACTGTAAATGATAGCCAAAATCAGAGGGGAATAATAGTTAGATAACATTCATGTAGAAGTGCATAAACCTACTGTAACAGTAAGCCTAAACTTAATATAAACGGTAAACATACCACTGTAATTCTGATTGGCTGATTGGAATGTTGTTCCAGGGTCAACAGAGATGTTAATCTAGGAACAAGTCCTACTTGTTGAAATTAGATTGGCGTTCACTCTCAAAAGAGAGGAGCATACTATACTGCTGTTTTCAATGTTTCCTCACCATATAATGCCTCCCCAGAAGAAGCTGAAGAAAACATAGAAAGCCAAAGAGCCCCAGATCACAAAATGGTTGATCCACGTCCAGTGTCGCGTGTCCAGAGCCAACTGAGAGAAGGAAAACAGTCAATCAATGGCGAATGGAGATCTGAGAAGCTTTTTAAACAAAATAATAATAATAATCACAATTAACCTTTAATGTGACAGTAAAAACAAGGACTGTAAAGACAATTGTTCCATAAGACCAGTTTCCAAAGACCTGGAAAAAACAAAACAGAGAACAAATCAAATGCAGTTCCCAATTTCTTAATGTAAACACAGAAACAAAGTATAACAGTCTCTAACCTGCCCATTATCCTGAAGGGCTGGATTGCTGAACAGAAAACGGACACCAAAAAAGAACAAGAGACCCTGAAATATTCCTAATACTGTCCAATAGAGGAAAGGTCGCCAGCGTAACATGGCATTCTTGGCTATTTCTCTGAAAAAAGAACAAGAATTGACATTTTGGTAAGAAGTGAAAGGGAAGATACTTTATGTTAATTTTCTACTGTCGCCTATATAGCTGACTGTACCAAATATAAGATGTTAACAAAAGAACAACGTTACAAACATGACATTGGAAAAGATAACCTATATATTAGGAGATAAATCGAGTACTGAGACCTGGATGGGACGTGATGGTGGGGGGAAAATGGGTGGAAGAAAAAAAATGGGAGAAAGAAACTGAGTGATAGGAAAATATATGTTTTTAAAGTTTTTGCGTTCCCTCGCAAAACTGCTGTCCGACAAACATTTCCTGTTCACTTCATACATGTCAATGCTCCCGTTTTTGCCATGATTCTCCCATATTTTACCATTCTATCCCGCTATCATCTGACCTTTAAGTATTTTCACACATTTCTCCTTTTAATCTTGAAAGCACGCTGAAATTAACATAAAAATGTCTGCATTCACTTTCTTTCCATTAAAGCTGTGCGTCGATCGTCATGCAATACAACATCTGAATCAGCGAAAAAAATAAAAATAAAAAAATCCTCCCATCTAGTTTATTCTGTCCCTCCCAGTGTTTTTCTTTCACTTATTTTTTTCTCCACCATCATGTCCCTTCCAGGTCTCCATTATAGAAAGCATAAATATCGATGTAAAATACTGTTATTGTTGTTTCTACTTCAGTATTTTCTGAGTGTAAAGTTAAAATGCAATAAAGATATAATAAAGCAAAAGAAAACAGTCAGCAATAGCACTGACTATACAAAAAAAGACAGAAGAGTTGCAGTGCACGCTAGCACCTGTAGAGGGTGGCGTTGTCCAGCAGAATCTCGATGGCTATGTGCTGCTCCAGCAGGCTGTAGGCCAGAATGGGCATGGAGGTGAAGCAGATGTTGTACATCGTCAGATAGGCTGCGTCGTACAGGGGCTGGGAAGGGGAGCGAGGGAGGGAAAGGATAGGGTAATGGGGAGGTTAATACCACGTTTAGGAGATCACACATATGCACACAACAAAGAGAGGGAAAATCTTGACTGTGGCCACATGCAATGGCTACTTGCTCGATATATATACACACAAAACACATGCTGGAAAATGAGAGGTTGAAACCCAGTTATAAGAAGTCACATATTGGAAGACCGTTGAGCAATTAAGAGATGAATATGCAATAATTGAGATATACATTTTATTAAAGTGATCCTACTATACATTTTGGGATGTTATATCTTTTATAGTTTTGTACCATATTTGCATAAAGGCAGCCTACCCCCTTCTTCACTTGCCTTATTTTGACCCTCAAACACTGTACTTGTATCTGAGGGATGGAAGAGTTTGTGATGTATTGTCAACACATCTGAAAGAAGCTGTTTTCTGCACTTTTTGGTTTGGGTTATCATTGTTCTGGTGTATCATTTGAATTGTGAACTGAATTAATAAGGTAAAATCGATGCTATTGATGTTGATGCTATCATTGAGATGTAAAATCTCTTCTAGCAAGTCCTGGTCAAAACAGCAGCACATAAAGTTTACATTAAACCAGATACAAACACAAAAACAAAGAAAATATAGCTCTGTTTTCATAAGCCATAAGCCAAATCTATAATAATAAAAAACAACCATAACAAGTACATGTTCACTTTTGAGTTGACCATAAGAACTGTTGTAATTTTTAAAAATTTTAATCATTTAAATAGGTGTGTATTTCATTCAGCACTTTAACACTCTGCAACTTATAAAGACAGAGCCGTTTGATGAAATCTGAAATTCAGATATGGTAATGTTTTGCTTTGTTTGCTTGTTTGTATCTGACAATCAAGACTGGTTTGTCTGACCAATCAAAGCAAGACCATTAAATGAAAGGTTACATACAAAAGAGAAAAGAGGTTATGCTCCAGTGTTATTTGTGAGAAACTTGAAATGTTTGTGACCCTGGATAAATGTATACCTATTGCAGGAGACCTACAAAACAAAATTAGGAAGCTTTAAAATAGCATAACAGGGACACCTTAAGGCAGACTTGACAGGACACTGCTGGAGGAGAAGGAAGGAAAGGGATTAGACACAACGTTTCCACTGCTGGGCCAAAAGCAAGCAAGCTGGTGTATGTCAGGGACAGTCGCATTTCCACTGCCACTTCCAGTGCTTAATCAAGCCTTGTATGGGCTTCCTCTGGGCCAACAGCAAGAGGTTTTATGGTCTAACAAATACCTTGGTCCAAAGCAGGCCAGCTGGCACTTGAGGAGACGGCATGCACCACTGATCACTACTGATGTTTTCATTTCAGGCTACCAGCTAACATAAATAATTGAGACATATTTAAGACTGAAAACTTTTAGCTCAAAACTCACTTTTAGACGCCAGCGATTATCCAAAGTTACATTCGTTTGATCCCATAGGGATTCTGATCACTGTAATGAGGCAGTCTCATAATTATAAATTTGCTTGCAATGCAAAAGGCTACCAATGTTAACAAATGCCACAATAAATACACATTATGCTAACAAAATAAGACAGATTAACTGTCGAATTAAATATACTCCAGTTAACTATAATATTTGTCATTGAGTTGAGCTCCATCTGCTTCTCTGGAGGAAAGTATAACAGTACATAGAGACTTTTTGGAGGTAGTGTGATGTTGTTCTAGAAAGGTGTTCTATGAACGCTAATGCAAAATTTGTGTGCTCACCAAAAAATGTAATACATTATAATATAATATAATATAATATAATATAATATAATATAATATAATATAATATAATATAATATAATATAATATAACATAACACAATACAATACAATATAATATAATATAACACAATACAATATAATATAATATAATATAATATAATATAATATAATATAATATAACACAATACAATACAATATAATATAATATAGTATAATATAATATAATATAATATAATACAATATAACATAACACAATACAATACAATATAATATAATATAATATAACACAATACAATACAATATAATATAATATAATATAACACAATACAATACAATATAATATAATATAGTATAATATAATATAATATAATATAATATAATATAATATAATATAATATAATATAATATAATATAATATAATATAAATAGGTATGTGCTTGTTATATATATATCACTTTAATCGTAAGGCAAAGATTAAAAAAAAAAATCTGAGGAAAGATGGAAAGGAAAGAGCAAAGCCAGGGGAGAAGGAAGCGGTTTAATTGTACATACCTGCTGAGAGTATCCACAGAAAAACTGGTACAGGAACTGAGGTAAGATGAAGCAAAGATTCTGAGGGAGAAGAAAAGGATAAAAATTACATTATAACTACTTTTATACTTAAAAATTAAAGCGAGCTCCATTGAATACCAGACCAACCTTATAAAAGAAGTACTGGACAAGATGGGCAATGCGCACATAGTAGAGATGCCCATGAGCCAGCAAAAGCTTCTTTAAGTGCTTGAGTTTAGGGATGGCATAGTCACTGTTCCTCACAGCTTGACGGCCCTCCTTACCTTTAATACCTGAACACACAATAGTAACATCACAGTACATTGGAGGAAAAAAAAAAAAAACTTAGAAAGACATGTTGGCTTTAATTACATAAAAACATCACTATTAAAAAAAATTGTGGTTTGTAAAAATGTATTAATTAAAAAGAAATGCAAAATTAAATATTTAAAAAGTTCCTAATAATTAGTATGCACATATATGATGTTATATACACATAGTACATAACACCTAATATTTAGCACATATTTGAATATATTATATTTTAAAATAACTAATCTTATAACATTTTTATTCATATTTTAAAATGTTATTTAAAATTAAAAAAGGTGGCAAAACTACTTTTAAAACCACCAGTCTTCAGTGTCTGGTGATCCTTCAAATCACTCTGATTTGTGAATTTGATGTTCAAGAAACATCTAATATTATTACCAGTGTTGAAAATAGCTGCGCTGTTTCAAACAATACACATTTTTACAAGATTCTTTGATAAATATTAAGTTTAAACAAGCAACATTTAGATGCAGTTTACATTTATTTGACCAATTTAATGTGTCATTGATGTATAAAAGTCAACCTTTTGAAAGTGTAAAGCATACTGTATGTGACTGTACAGTATACTGAGATCTCACCAATGCCCACATGTGCCTCAAGAATCATGCTGACATCATTGGCCCCATCGCCGATGGAGAGTGTGATTGGGGAACCTTTGCAGTTCTTTACCATCTTCACTATCTAAAGTGAGCATAAGAGAATATTAGTCAAGTAATTCCTTAAGTGGGGTATAGAGAAGAGCAAGCAGTGTTCTGCTGTGCAGGTGAGACCTGAGCTTTCTGCAGGGGTGCCATGCGGCAGCAGAGAACAGCAGTGCAGTTTTGGCAGATCTGCAGGAAGAGCCCCCTGTAGAGACTGGCATCCGCATCACGGGGTGGGTTCATCACTAACGACAATGTTGCCCCATCTATAATGAAGCCATACTCCTGATTTGCAGACCAACTCCTGCAATATAAGAGTCACAGTAAACAAGTGGTCATTCAATTTAAATTAGTATTAAGGACGCACCGATATGAAACATCTAGTAAAAACACTAGTCTAATAAATTATTTTCTCATTACTGATAAATGAGCGTTACTACAACTTAGTAGAAATATATTTACTTATACATACCTATGTGTGTGTGTGTGTGTGTGTGTGTGTGTGTGTGTGTGTGTGTGTATATAGCCTCGGAAAAAATGCTCATTTTAGAAGAAAATTTCAGATGGCACTTATATTATATATATATATTATTTTATTTTTTAAAATTAGCATTACTTGCTTACATCGACTCAGCATATACTGTATAATAATATATTATATTTTAATATATGCTCAGTTAGTGTAAGCCAGATTTCTAAATAGTTCATATTAATAAATGTTCTTTTCGAACCCCTTGGGGAACCCCACGGGGAACCACCCCCGTGACCGATTTTGTACTTTTATTTCGGAGTGTGGATTACATAACAGTTTTATTCCTTTATTTTATTTAATATTTATTATATATATATATATATATATATATATATATATATATATATATATATATAATAAATTCCACTGTGGCGACCCCAGATTAATAAAGGGGCTAAGCCGAAAAGAAAATTAATAATATAATATAATATAATATAATATAATATAATATAATATAATATAATATAATATAATATAATATAATATAATATAATATAATATAATATAAGAAAAATAAATGCATTATTAAAAAATAAATACACAAAAATATATATTCAAAACAATTTTTTGTATTCGTATTTTTTATATTATTTAACAATTTTTATTTTCCAACATTCTAATAATAGCCCTTGTGTTTTTTGGATTGCATCCTGAAAGCCCGAACTTTCACTGACAGCAAAAAAAAAATCAGGTGTCTGACCTGGTGACGACTCCTGTTTTGACCGGCGGGGCGTCCTGCACAGCTCTTCTATGGTAGTCCCTTAACAGCTCCAAAAGTCTGTCCTCACGCTTCGACCTCCCATCCTCCAGTGTCCGCACAGTCAGCTCCAGCAGCTCTGTACCCCGCTGAAACAACCGGCAGGCGTAGCATGTGGACTTAGCCGTCTCCATTTTATCCCCAGTTAGCACCCAAATCTTCATCCCTGCACCCTGCAAGGCCTCCATGGTCTCTGCAGCCTCTTCCTGAAGTCTGGGACACAAGAAGTTACGCTACTTAAACATTTTCTTCAAGTAAAAAACAGAGTAAACAAACAATTCGGGTCACCAACCGGTCCTCCACAGCGGTCGCTCCAATTAAACTCATGCCCGTCTCCACCTGGTTATACATGGCCATGAGTTTCTCCTCCCTATCCTGAAGAGCCAGTCTGGCTTCCCTCAGGCCTGTGTCTGCTAAAGCGTACTCTTCTGCGCTCAGCTGCTTATAGGCCACACACAGTGTACGGTAACCATCCTGGAGAGCAAAAAACACACCATTAGGCCAGAACTGACTGACCTTTTCAATATTTAATGGCTCTGCGGGACGTCTCTCTTAAACATGAAGATATAATGAACCAGGGTTTAAGCATCCTTTTAGCTTAAAGCAAGATACTGCAGGTAAATAGGGTAAAAACTGTCCTAAGTATAAAACTGTACAAGTGTATAAATATAGAAGTGTATCACCCATATATTTCTCCACTTGCTTGATTACATTCAGAATTGCAAACATGTTTTGTTATGCAAATGTAACTATGATTAATAAGCTAATTTGCATACAGTTCGAGGTCAGGTTTAACATTTTTGCTTTACTTTTATGAATATTATTTTGTTAAAAAAAAATTATTATTTCTTTTTCTATTACTTAATCATTTAGAAAATACTCAGAACAGAAAGATTTTTTTTATATATACACATTTTACATTTTGTAGTACAAAATTCTATAAATAGTATACAGTAATCAGGCAAATTATGTCTAAAGGTATCCCTTTTAAGATTAAAGTTAAAGTAAGATACAAATAAAATAGTAAAGAATAAAAAATATTAATTAAATGAATAAAAAAAGAGAGTTTTGGTGTGTTTAGTGCTGCTGAAGTGGAGATTTGTGGCTCAATGCAGAAAAGAAACAAAAAATAAACTTTAAAAATATGTATTGTAAATGGAATCTTCAATCAAAAATAGACCATATTTGATTGCTCTACGGGACGTCTCTCTCTATATAATGAACGAGGATTTAACCATCCTTTTAGCTTAAAACAAGATACTGCATGTGAATAGGGTAAACATGTAATATGTAATGTAATGAAATACTTCTCCAGTTGCTTGATTACATTCAGAATTACAAGCATGTTTCATTATGCAAATGTAGCGGCGTTTAATTACACAGGAGTTCATTTGCATACAATTCGAGGTCAGGTTCAACAAACTTTATTTTGATGGTCCATTTGTTGAATTTAAGTTACATTGCATCTACATGCCAACTAATTCTCATTAGATTATAAGTAGACTGTTAGGCTGGGGTTAAGGTTAGTGTTAGTTGACATGTACTTGTAAAGTTTCTTATAGTCAGAAAAACGTCTGTTAATGGAGCAGTATCACAGAAATTAAGCCAGACAGTCTACTAGCACTCAAAATAAAGTGTTACCCATCATCTTTGCTTCACTTTTATACACATATTATTTTGGGTGTTTTTTCTGTCACCCAATAATTTAGAAAATACTGTGAACTGAAAGTTTTTTTTTATATATATATATATATATATATATATATAAATTTCACATTTTTTGTAAAATAAAATATGTATGATAAGGCAAATTATGCTTGAACATTCCTTTTTAAATATCATAAAGATAAATTAAATAAAAAATTAATAAAATAATAATATATATAAATCTTTGAAGTTTAGTAAATAGAATTTAAAATATACTCACCGGCCACTTCATTAGGTACACCTGTCCAACTGCTTATTAACACAAATTTTTAATCAGCCAATCACATGGCAGCAACTCAATGCATTTAGGCATGTAGACATGGTCAAGATGATCTGCTGCAGTTCAAACCGAGCATCAGAATGGGGAAGAAAGGTGATTTAAGTGACTTTGAACATGGCATGGTTGTTGTTGCCATGTTGGTGCTGGTCTGAGTATTCAGAAACTGCTGATCTACTGGAAATTTCACGCACAACCACCTCTAGGGTTTACAGAGAATGGTCAGAGAAAAGAGAAAATATCCAGTGAGCGGAAGTTCTGTGGGTGCAAATGAGGTCAGAAGAAAATGGCCAGACTGCTTCCAGCTGATAGAAAAGCAACAGTAACTCAAGTAACCACTCTTTAACTGAGGTATGCAGAAGAGCATCTCTAAACACACACCACGTCCAACCTTGAGGGGGATGAGCTACAGCAGCAGAAGACCTGACCAGGTACCACTTCTGTCATCTAAGAACAGGAAACCGAGTCTTGATTTCTGCTGCAGCATTTGGATGATAGGGTCAGAACTTGTCGTCAACAACATGAAAGCATGGATTCATCCTGCCTTGTATCAATAGTTCAGGCTGGTGGTGGTGGTGGTGTAATGGTATGGAGGATATTTTCTTGGCCCACTTTGGGCCCATTAGTACCAATTGAGCACTGTGTTGTTGACACAGCCGACACAGTATTGTTGCTGACCATGTCCATCCCATTATTACCACAGTGTACCTATCTTCTGATGTCTACTTCCAGGAGGAAGGCCATGTCATTAAGCGCCAATCATCTCAGACTGGTTTCTTGAACATGACAATGAGTTCACTCTAAATGGCCCCCACAGTCACCAGATGTCAATCCAATAGTGCACCTTTGAGATGTGGTGAAACGGGAGGATTCACAGAATCATGGACGTGCAGCCGACAAATCTGCAGCAACTGCGTGATGTCAATATCATGTCAATAATGACCAAATTCTCTGAGGAATATATCCAGTCCCTTGTTAATTCTATGCCACAAAGGATTAAGACAGTTCTGAAGGGAAAAGGGGGCCCAACCCGGTACCTAATAAAGTGGCCAGTGAGAATACGGCATATTGTAATTGGTCTAAAAACAAAAAATATTAAAGTGCAACAGAAAAACTTCAGTGTATTTTAAATGTTTTCTTTTCATTAGATTAAAAAGTCTTTCTCAAGACCCAAAATGTGGAATTTTCAAAAATTAATAGTCCATGAAAAAATATTTTTTTTGCCCCATAAGTCAAACTGGTCAAGATATTAAGATGTACAGTAATACCGTTGCATTTCGCTCAACGTGTAGTCGAATTCTGTCCACCTCCTCTGGTCTGACTCTTGGAAATATGGAAGAATCGGCTCCCTTACAAAACAGCAGCGTGTCCCCTAAATAAAGAAGATGGGAGAGAGACATTCAGAGTTTTACATTACAACATAAAATGGCTTCTTACATAATTTGCAAAACTCACAAGGCACAATTGCTAAGATGTTCAGGAAGGGGTTGCTAAGTGGTTGCCGTGTTCTGGCTGATGAGAAACTGTCTGTATAAATTATTCACATTTTTTTACTTAACAGCTTTTCATTCAGAAGCATTTTAACCTTAAAGAGGGAGTTCATGCCAAAATTAAAATTCTGTCATCATTTACTCACGCTAATGTCAATTCAAAGCCAGACTTTCACTCATCTCCAGAACACAAATTAGGATGTTAATAGTCAAACCAGAGATCTGTCTTGCAATTGAAAGTCTATTCACCCAGAACCAATGTTCATAAAGATATTTTTAAAAATGATAAAGTGTTTTTCATTTTTATTTATTTTTATTAATTAATTTGAAAATAAGTGTATATTTAAATTAATTAACAAATAAATTAATTTTTAAAAAGTTAATTTGTACTCAAGTAATTGATTCACGTTGCCAAGTCAAGTTGCCAAAAAGTCACCTCTCTTTGACAAATTATACATTGTTTTGGCTCTATCAACATCAGAAATGTGACAAATCAAGTGATTCAAATCTCAAATTGTAAATATGGCCAAAAGCAAATGCCTTAAAACAGCACTGATGATCAGTAGCTCACCTGATTTGGTTTGCACGATGACACTCATTCTCCGCCGAACAGGGTCAAAATTCAGGACATGAAGCAATTTGTACCTGAAATATTGGACACATTTCATACAGTATAGACCCATACATTAACCTTAATTCATACATCTAATTTTATATGACTTCAGACAGTGGTGGAAAATAACAAAGCATTTTTATTAAACAAAGTATTTTTTATGGTACTTTACAGTTCCATATTTTTAATATTATATTTTTGGAACCAGTTATGTTAATAAAACATCTTGCTGAATAAATAATCATTTAACTACTGTATAAGTACTTTTTACTATTAATACTTGAGTACATTAAAACAAGTACTATAGTATTTTAACTTATAGGGATAGTTTACCAAAAAAATGTGTCATCATTTACTCATCCTTCATTTGTTCAAAACTTAAACAAAAATGTTTTTTTTTTCAGAAAGTTGTGAAAAAAGCAGCCACTTCTATATATATTTTTGTTGTTGTTGTTGTTTCTACTATGGAAGTTAAACACTTTTGGTTTGATTCTCAGAAAGATTCCTCAGAATATCTTGTTGTTATTGTTTTTTTTTTTTTTTGTAAAAAAAAAACATCATAAATTCTAATAGTGAGCAAATATAATATAATTTTTTTTAACTTTCCATTTAAGTACAATTGGAAAGCAGTCCTTTATGCTCTTACAGCATAAATATTTGATTAGGATTGCAATACTTTAACTCAAGCACTTGATATATGTTCTTTATCCAGCACTGATTGTCAATGCTAGCACTGATGCAGCATAACATCATTCTTATGAGTCTAGTTTCAAGCATCATAACTTACTCCTCTATATCATTTTGCCTGTTCCTGATCTTCATGTTTTTATTCTCCAAACCTAGAAAGGTGAAGCCGTATCTGAATAGGAGAAAACAATGCCAGTGAGTGCCAGATTGCCAATATCAGATCCAAGATCCAGCAGTACTCAGCAGTTATCTTACTCCATGGCTCCTTTGACCAGTGCGACCTCATCAGGAGAAGATGCGATGAAACCTCTTTCCTCCTCTGCTTTGGGCAGCACCCCATCAATCCCATCAATTTGGTCACTAAGAGTTTCCTCCTTCACCTGCACTGTGTGGCACAGACACAAGGCCCGCAGAAACAACTCCTCTTTCTCCTGGCATATGGGATCAAAACATAATACGTAAGTTACAAATGTAAATCTGTGAGTAAAGAAAAAATAAAGAAAACTGAATTGAAATATAGGTAACACTTTACACTAAGGTTATGTAACAGAGGCAGCTAGCGAAGTGCTATGCAAGTAAATCTCACTCCTCTGACCTAAAAGGTGCTCTAGCAACAGATGCTAGAGGCCATGGTCTTTGGCCTCCTTGTTACAGTAACCGACTCTTATGTAAAGAATCGGCGGTTCGATCCCAGCTCAGAACAGGTTGGGTGCAGTAGGAACGATGAGTTACATATGGGGGCTCGTCCGGGATGGGAGTGAGTGTAATGGAGGCCAGCTAGCGAAGTGCTATGCAAGTATACCTTACTCTTACAGTTTGATCTGCCGGTTTGATCTTAACTCAGAACGGGTTGGGTGCAGTAGGACCAGTTGGTTAAAGTTATATTAGTTAATACGTTTACTAAAATGAACTAACAATGAACAATACATTTATTACAGTATTCGTTCAGTTTAGTAAGCATTAGTTAATGAAAATACAGCTGTTCATGTGCTCACAGTGCATTAACTAATGTTAACAAACAAAGTTGGATGTGAATAATGCATTATAAATTGTTAAACTATGATTAATTAATGCTGTACAAGCATTGTTTATAATTAGTTCATATTAGTAAATATATTAACTAATAAAACCTTATTGTAAAATGTGACCGAAATATATTACACAATAAGAAAAAAATGACTGAGAAATGACTGCGATTGACTACAAAAAAGAAAACACACTATAAATATTACATATAAGTATTAATAGTAATGCAATTTTATAAAAAAAACGAATAAATAATAAATATATTTTTGCATTATGTTGTGTAGTTTCAAGTGGCAAGAAAAACAAAATAATAGCAATAAAATAATAAAAATAATAATAATAATAAATTAATAAATATATATAATAAAATTTAATACATAAATATATAAAGTTAAACAAATCTGCTACATACATTCTGGAAAAAATAATCAATTCAAATAACAATTCATTTCTGATCCATATAATCAAGATTAATGTTCAAGATTGAAGATGCACCAAAAAAAGATTTGTTGATTTGTCATCATTGTATTGTTTAGATTAGATACGATTTTTGAGTTATTACCATATCAGCTATATCAAGAAAGTTTACATCATAAAGTTTACAAGATTTTCTAAAACATTTTAACAATAAAAAGTCATCAACATCAATAAAAAAATATATATAATATATAAATTATATGATATAATGGCAGTTAGAACAATATCTTATTCATTTATAAAACTGACAGACAAAAACAGTTACACGTCTTTTAATACTGGTGCTGAACAATAAACGTTTGATATCTACAACACAGATCATGAACACTACACACTGACAAGGGCCCTTGAAGAGAAGTGCTCTCAAAGGACTGCCCGTTTACAGTGCATACGAGTGCTATATATAAAAAACGGATTTAATACACATCATTTTATGCTCTCCAAGCCTGCCAACACAAACATTAGACGTTTACAGCCCTTGTGTTTATACTGTATCACAGCCTCAGAGGATTTATAAATTCAAGAAGTCTGCAGTCGCTTTACATATCGATGTGTATGAATCCAACAGCACCACGCACATCTGAGGTTCTGGGTATGGATGTGCTCATCGAACGGCCAGACATTGCATTAGGATGGATTTTGCGTCAAATATGCAATCGGCAAACAAACATATTTTTCCTGTAATTTGATTAAGCAAACATACTGCACTGCAATCATTTTACAGTACAAACTGTGTAAACCAATGGCCTTAAACTCAATTCCTGTAGGGCAGCAGCTCTGCATAGTTCAGCTCCATCCACCTCCAACTCACATCAGCTTAAAGGTCTATAGTAGTCTTGAACATTTTGATTAGTTGGATCAGCTGTGTTTGATTAGGGTTGGAGCAAAACTGTGCAGAGCTGCGGTCCTCCAGGAATCCAGTTTGAGACCAGTGGTGTATAACGTGTCCTTGATGAATAAAAGTAAGTCAATCTATAAAAAAATCAAGAATTCCAACTGTTTTTAACCTGATAATAATAATAATAATAATAATAATTAATATATTTGTTAAGCAGCTGACCATTAAGATTATAATGATTTCTGAAGAATCATTTGACATTGAGGAGAACTGGAGTAATAGCTTTAAATGTCAGGAATAAATACAAATTTTAATTACAAAATAAACTCTTATTTAATATTTTACTAATATTTCTCAAACAAATTCGATCAAATGCAACCTCTGTGACGAGTGTGCTCTCACACCAGGTTCAATTGCTTCGATCGAACATAAGTTTGATTGTCCCCCCTTGCCACCTTCTCTGCTGATTTGTGTTCACACCATCTTTTTCTTCTGAGCCCCGGTACACTTATGTAATCAAGCTGCTGTTTTGGTTACAGCTGTTGCTAGGTAACAGCACCAAAAAGTAGATGTTCGCATATCATGGTCATTCTGCTTTAACTGAATCCAAAATTAAAATACAAATAACCACTTGCGTCTATCTGCCGCTAAAACTGTTAAAAATGCTCAGAACATCAAGCGATGTCTGCAGAAGATGTTTTTTGTTGGAGACAAGCAGACATTATCTCTGTTTGCACTGGGTCAGTCCCACATGTCGCCAAGGTAAGTGATACACAGAGACACACACACAGAGACAGACACAAAGAGACACACACACACACACACACACACAAAACACAGAGACACAGAGACAGACACACACACACAGACACACACAGACACACACAGACACACACAGACACAGTTCTCTTCCATTATTAGGTACGATTGCATTTATATGAGAAGTGAACCATACTAGAGTTCTTTCAGGTGAACTTGGGTACGGTTTATGGGTGTGCACCCGAGTTTGGAGGACACATTCCCACTAGCTAAACGTACCGTACACTGACGTAAAACAAACCCAGGTGCAGACGAAAAGTGCTAGTGTGAAAGCAACATTAAAAAAATCTTACTGATCCCCAGTAGTGTATGTAGCATAATACAATTTTTTATTTATATATTGAAATTAAACAAACATATTGAACTCACTATATAACCAAGCTAATGTACGGCTTCTTTGTTTGGATCATGATTACAGTGCTTTTTTTTTTTTTTTTTTTTTGCATGTTAATTTTACATCACCCTGCCTCTGATCCAGTAAATCAATATCTCATTCACATTTTAATATTTGGTTGTTTCTAGATTTGAAAAGAACTAATTAATAAAAAGAAAAGAAAACTGGGCTGTTTGATTGTTAAAAAAATAAAGAAATGATAAATTCAGATTGAAGGTGCATCATTAGATAGTGACTCACCCGTCCGGCCTTCTCCTGCAGTTTATTGAGCGGCCCGTCGGTGACGGTGAAGCCGTCCAGCTCTCCGTGGGCATCTCTGTGTCTGTACTGGAAGCCGTCAATACAGCACTCAATGAACTCCATGTTGTTTTGGGTCAGTGTGCCCGTCTTGTCTGTGAATACATATTCCACCTGCAGGCCGAAGACAAATGTTGACCTTACCGACAATAAACCCAGGCTATAAAGCAGTCGTTCCCAAATGAACAGAGTCGGGCGATAAGAATGGACTATTAATTTGTAACAAAAGAAGTCTGTTTGCATAAATCAGTTTAATGAAGCATGGCCTGTAATTTAGAGGAATGGTCTGCATAAGTGACAGAGGGTGATCTATGACCTCAGAGCACAGGGTCTGCTCAGATTATCAGCAATTATTCATTTGGACATTCAGAGTGGAAAAAAAAAAAAGAGCATAATTTTTAAAAATCTTATTTTCATTTTAAATAACAAAAACATGGAGTATTAAGATGTGTAGATTGTGAAAGAAGTGAAAGAAAGAAAGAAAGAAAAAAAGAAAGAAAGAAAGAAAGAAAGAAAGAAAGAAAGAAAGAAAGAAAGAAAGAAAGAAAGAAAGAAAGAAAGAAAGAAAGAAAGAAAGAAAGAAAGAAAGAAAGAAAGAAAGAAAGAAAAAGAAATAAAGAACAAACAAAAAAGAACAAATGAACAAAAGAAAAAAGAGAAATAAATATTGAAAGAACAAATGAAAGAAAAAAAATGAAATGAAATAAAGAAACAACAAAATAAAAAATACAAATAAAACTTGAAAAAAGAAAGAAAGAAAGAAAGAAAGAAAGAAAGAAAATTAAAAAACAAAACAAAAAAGAATGAAATAAAGAAAAAAAAAGGAGAGCAACGAACAGAAAATAAGAGCAAAAAGGACAAAATAAAGAATGGAATAAAGAAAGAAAAGAACGAAAGAAAGAAAAAAGGAAATTAAAGAACTAAATAAAAAATTAAAGAAAGAAAAAAAGAAATAAATAATGAAAGTAAAAAAGAATGAAATGACAAAAAACAAATTAAAGAACAAAAAAAAAACAAGACAGAACGAAACAAAAAAGAAAAAACAACAGAAAGAAAGAAGAAAATAAAAAACAAGAAAGAAAAAAACAATAAAGAACGAAAGAAAGAAAAGGAAAAAAAAGAGAACGAAACAAAAGAAAGAACAAAATAAAAAATAAGATAGAAAAAGAACGAAATAATGAAAGAAAGAAAAGAAAAAAGAAAGAAAGAAAAATAAAGAACAAAAAAGAAAGAAAGATCAAAATTAAGAACAAAAAGAATGAAAGAAAGAAAGAAAAAACTAAATTAAAAAGAACAATAAAAATCGAAAGAAAGAAAAAAATTAAAGGAATAATGAACAAAGAACGAAAGAAAATAAAAAAGAAACAAAGAAGAAAATAAAGAAGAAAAAAAATAAATTAAATTAAAAACAAGTAAGATCAAACAAAAGAAAGAAAAAAAGAAAGAACAAAAGAAAGAAAGAAATTAAGAACAAAAAAGTAAAAAATGAACAAAATAAAGGACAAAATAAAGGACGAAAGAAAGAAAGAAAGAAAGAAAGAAAGAAAGAAAGAAAGAAAGAAAGAAAGAAAATGTCCTTGACTGTAATGACAATAACCTCACAATGCAGCAAACAGAAACTGATGCGATTCATAAATAAACTGAATTTACATGATAGAGGCTATTATTTATGCAGAACAGTATTGACTGATACTAGTAATGAATGGGGTACAAATAATAAATAAATAAATAAACAAGATCTGCATGTTAAGTTCACGTCGGTTTCCCCCGGGTGCTCCGGTTTCCCCCACAAGTCCAAACACATGCGCCATAGGTGAAATGATTAAACTAAATTGCCTGTAGTGTGTGAGTGTATGGGTGTTTCCCAGTGATGGGTTGCAGCTGGAGGGGCATCCGCTGCATAAAACATATGCTTGATAAGTTCATTCCGCTGTGGCGACCCCTGATTAATAAAGGGACTAAGCCCAAAAGAAAATGAATAAATGAACGAATGAAGTTATATTTGCTTAAAGTGTCCAACCTGGCCAAGTTCCTCATTGAGGTCAGACGTGTTGACGAGCGCTCCCTCCTCGATCTCTGGGTCAAAGAAATCATTATCCCACTTGATAAAGAAGGAGCCCAGAAACTTCTGCATCTCCACAGTGACGTACATGGACACAGGGATGATGAAGTTGAAGAGGACCATGAAGGAGAGGAAGTCTGTAAACATCTTCAGGTACTGAAACAGAGAGCACAATATCATGCCTGGAACATGGAGGTTAAACATAAAGCTAATCCCTAATTATGATTTATTAGGTATGATGAGAGTAAGAGCTGACCGCAGCCACTAGAGACCAGATTAGCTCCTAATTTATATTAATTGCATCAAGAATGAGTGATGATATAATGAGGGAGTTGTTAATTGATTGATGCAGTCATGATCAAAAAACCTCTCACCATGTTAGTTTCTTTCTCCTTCTGAGTTTTCTCGTTGTACCAGGGCTCATCTTGACCTTCTTTGCTCTGCCACACGTACTTTAGTGTAGTACAAACCACAGCTTTACTGATGAGGATACATAGATACACCAGTAGAAAGGCATTGATGGATCTGGAAAAAAGAAACAATACTGTGAATACTGTCAAGAATACAAGTCAAGCAGCTAAATCAGTAAAAAACCTAAATAAGAAAGTTTGATGACAGTACTGTACATAATATTTTACTAGACACTAGTATACAGCTTAAAGTGACATTTAAAGGCTTAACTAGGTTAACTAGGGAGGTTAGGCATCATATATAATGTATAACAGTGGTTTGTTCTGTAGCTAGTCTAAAAAATATTTGCTTGAGGGGGCTAATAATATTGACCTTAAAATGTTTTTTTTTTATTAATATTAAAAACTGTTTTCCCTCTAGCCAAAATAAAACAAATAAGACTTTTTTTTCCTAAAGAAAAATATGGGAATTACTGTGGAAATTTCCTTTATCTGTTAAATATGACTTGAGAAATATCTAAAAATATTTCAAAAATGTACCCATAACTGTGTGTGTGTGTGTGTGTGTGTGTGTGTGTGCGTGTGCGTGTGCGTGCATATATCATTCATTTATTCATTCATTTTCTTGTCGGCTTAGTCCCTTTATTAATCCGGGGTTGCCACAGCGGAATGAACCACTAACTTATCACATTTTTATGCAGCGTATGCCCTTCCAGCCGCAACTCATCTTTGGGAAACATCCACACACACACTCATACACTACGGACAATTTAGCCTACCCAATTCACCTGTACTGCATGTCTTTGGCCTGTGGGGGAAACCGGAGTACCCGAAGGAAACCCACGTGAACGCAACGAGAACATGCAAACTCCACACAGAAACACCAACTGAGCAGAGGATCAAACCAGCGACCAAACGACCTTCTTGCTGTGAGACGACAGCACTACCTACTGCACCACTGCGTCGCAGTGTGTATATCATTTGGTGTTAATTAATATTATTTATATAGTATATCTCATATTTGAACTAATTTAAAATGATTAATTTAATGATTTTAAACTCCCTCCTGGCCGTCAGGAAGGAGCAGGCGAAGAACCGATGAAATTTAAAGAACTTATTAAAGAGAAAAAAATAAAGACAGAACAGACAGTCGAACTAAAAACAAACACAACGTAAACATGTCCAAGCCTGGACCTCTCTCGTCCTCTGTCATCACTCATCCTCTTATAATCCAGAGCTCCTTCGCGGGACACGAGGTCGGTGTGCGCCACTAGGCATGGGACGGTATAAAATTCTGACAGTATGATAAACTTGGATAAAAATATTAGGGTTTCACGATATCAAGGTTTTGTGATTATTGTGAATTTTTTTACTTTTTAAATGTCTGGGTAAACAAACAACAATCTTTTTTTCCCCTTTGAAAACAATATATTTTAGTTTTTAAAAGATTTGTAAAATTTTGGAGCTGTAAACATGTCAGACTAAATCCTGAAAATTAACTGTAGACTTCTGTGGACTTCATTAGTTTCAAAAATATAGATTTCTTTACAACTAAAATTGGCATCTTTGGATATCTTATCTGCTGGATATACTGTTGTACAAAACAACAAAAAAAAGTAAAGTAAAAATCTTACACATACTTTGTAAACGAAATTACAGGAAAATTTGGCGGTTTTAAAACCTTGACTTTTCCAAACCGCCTTGAAAATGGTGATCCCACTGGATCTTTCCCATGGCTCTCGACCCCGTGCTCTCGACATGCACTATAGGTGAACTGAATAAGCTAAAGTGTCCAGTGTATGTGTGTGAATGAGAGTGTATGGGTGTTTCCCATTGATGGGTTGCAACTAGAAGGGCATCTGCTGCGTAAAACATGCTGGATAAGTTGGCAGTTCATTTCGCTGTGGCGACATCTGGTTAATTAAGGGACTAAGCAGAAAAGAAAATGAATAAACGAATGTATGAATGAATAATAATAATTATTATTATTATTATTACAGATGATAAATAAAAAGCATGAAAAAACAAACATATCAATTATAATATTAAATGCAATAATGATAATAACAACAATAATTATTTATATTCTTTTATAAGGGTAAGTAAATCTAAACCAAACCAATCTAAAACAAAACCAAAAAATAAAATCGCCATACAGATAATTCAGTTCATTATATAAATCACAAAACATAATTCATACAACTAAATTACAATTAAACTAATTATTTTATTCTTTCATTTATAAAATAATTAATAGCCACTTAATTACAATTAAACTTAGCTTTACTAGATTTTGATTAACTAAATTGTTATAATCAGTCAGAATCATGCAGATTCAGATCCGATACTCTCACATCCGCCACCAAAAAAGCCCCCACACTGATTAAAAGACTAATCCTGGGTTTTCCAATCAATACCGAATCACTGAAATGAACATTGCTAATCATCTGAAAATCAATACACTGAACCTTACGGCCCGCTGGGGTACAACAAGACTCTCATCACTCACTTTTCCACAGCTGATCGTTTCTGAGATTTGCCCTGGTAGTTGAGCGCCATCTTGGTCTCCATGCCTGTATACACTGCAACACCTTCAGAAAGAAAAGCAAAGACCAGTCCAAGAGTTCAAAACAATCCCTCATCATCGAAAAACTCCAAATTAACAGGGGCCACAACCTACCATAAATCTCCTTGGTGTTCTTTAGTGTAGCACCTTTAAGGAGAAGGTTCTCCGGGCCCAAAGATCTAAAAGAAACCATAAAAAACAAACAATTATGCTAATAAAGACACGTCCTGGCATCCAAACCCAGCGTTAAAGTGCCTCCTAATGAGCAGCATTTCTGCAAGAAGTATGTAGGTCTGTTTGGCTTGGCCTGCTCTTGTGAAGGACACGGTGTAGAGACTCATAAAAAACATTTCAAATGGGCCGGTGACAAATGGAAGCAGAGCGAGCGGGGCTTGAGAAGCTGCCAGGCCGGCTTTACTTTAATGCTGCGATGGCGTTACGGGTCGATGGAATAATGATCAGAGGCTAATGCAAAGGGAAAAGACAGAGCTGGAGTGACTAGGAGCTACTGGGGGGGATATATTGGACCCATGGGATCAAACCAAAGACGCTCTCACCTTACTGCTTCCTCCTGCTCTGGCTTGTAAATGTGCATTCGTCCCACGAACCTGCAGAAAAGCAAACAAGCTCCAGTCAAGCATGTTCACGCATGTTCTCTCAGCCACTAACGCACATGAAAAAAGGACAAATTAATGTAGTCGTCAAAAGAACATAGTGAGAGAAATCGAAGAGGTCAACCTGAAAACTAATACAATCTTTTGTGATAATGAAGATGCATGATAGTATTGTTGTGGCCACTTCAAAATCCTGTAATTATTTAATAGAGATGCACCAATTGCCTTTATCTCGGCCAATTCCGATTTCAGGTTTGACCTACAGACACAGATTTCTGCCAATTGCGATTTTTTTTCTAACTATATTTATAGTTAAAAATAATAATTACAGTAAAAAATAAACATCACAGTTCCCCCAAACTGCATTAACAACATTTAAATGTCTTGTGAAATTAAAATAAAAAATGTAGATGTTAGTTTCAGTCTGTCAGTTTTAAGGATATTTTTTTGCTAGTGCAGGGGTTTTCAAACTGGTGCACGCCCCACCAGGGTGGCGCCAGCACCTATAAAGGGGTCGCGAGACATTGAGGCGTGCACTTGCGTAAATTATGATGATGCGTTTACTATTAGATGCGTGAATCTAATTAAAGTTAGCTCCACAGCTATCTAACAGGCCCCTGTAGAATTAATGCGTTCCAGTAAAATATATAAAAATAAAATGAAGCGGGTGCTTTTTAAAACGAATGACGGTAAAAGTCAAACCGGTGAGCTGTCTGACAAAAAAAAGAGCCCTTCTGAATAAAATCAGAAAGATGCCCTTCTGGATCTTTCACTTCCTTTAAAGACTACTGACTGTTTACATTTAGATACATAGTTTACATAGTTATTTGCCTTAATCTGAATAAGACAATAATATTCACGTTTCCTGCAGAGTCTCATCTGGGTTTGGTGTTTCATCTCCATTTTCTCGACTTTAACTGCAGTTCGGCAGTTTAACTTTCACTTATGAACATTTCATTCATCTCCCCGTAACAAACTGGGGTATTAAACACTAATTATAGATACCGCACATCAGATGGAAAGAAAAAAAACTTCCGCATTTCACATCTTGTGAATCTTGTGGATCTTGTCACAAAATGGAAAAGTCCTACATGACGATATTGGTTTGATTGCGATGTTTACTTCAATAATGCCACTAATTTAAGCATACTCTACGTGTTAATTCCATTTCTGGTTAGTTTAATTATGATTTCGGATTAAGGTAATCAAAAATCGCTGTTTACATGGTAGACTCTTAACCAGAGTATTGTCTAAATCATATTAAAATTGCATTAAAGTATTGTTGCCCATGTAAACATACTCAATGTTCAACTCAACCACACCATCTGTAGGGGCATGTGCATCTCTATGGCCATGCTGCACGTGCAGCTGCTAACAAATTGGACTAGCTGAAATCAATCAGATGAATCTCCCTATTCCAGTCTCTGGCCTGCCGATAGGTGCATCTCTATTATTAAAACATTTAGTATGTCTATTAAGAATATTTAGATTCAGATGCTGTATTTGTCAGTGTTTTTGTTAATACTGGGGCTGCACGATATATCGTTTCAGCATCGATATTGCAATGTGTGCATCTGCAATAGTCACATCGCGAACATATGCAATGTTGAGTCTGAATTATAGTTGACCAGGAGCTACAGAATTGTATTTAATCACAATATTTATATGGACTTTATATGATTTATGCAACAAAAAAAGTTATTTAATTTCTGTACCATAATACTGTTAGACTGCCAGAAAACCATAACAAAGTGTATTAAAACAGCAATCTTGTGAAACAGGTCGTGCAGCAAACAATATTAGGCAGCCCTAGTTAATACTATAAAATAAAGCTCTAATAAATTAAAAAAATATTTGTTTTATTAAAGTGACGATGAAATTAAAAGCGGCAACTATTAAAGCATTTATTATTCGTGTTTAAAGGATTTAAGAAGTTAAAAATTAACTACAAAAAAAAAACTACTATAACTGTTTAATGAAGCTAATAAATTATGTAATTTTTTATTATCTTAAACATTTGCATAACTTCTGTAAAAAAATGTAGAAATTTCTCATTGATTTTAGTACTTTTTTTTTTTTACATCAATTAATTTCTAACGAGACCTCATTGTAAAGAATTCTCTATTGTTCTTTAATGTATGTTCACAATTTGTTTAAGTCAGTTTAAACATAATAAAGATAGGAGTTAATTTTGCTATTATACATGCTAAAGTAACCCTACAGTATTTTGGAGCTCATGTCTTATTATTTATTGTAACAATTATGATATTGTATATATATCGTGATAAAATCATAATTTATCGTTATAAGAAATGCCTAGTGGTGACCTCATTTCCTGTGCTTTACATAATCCCCATCCATATTAAAGTTGCTTGATGATCATATCTGTATTCCAGTACAGTCCACCATGCAAATGACCCTTGTACGAAATGAACCAATTACAAGGAAGATGCTCATTGGTGATGACCCAACAGTCTGGCGTGCTGGCAACAGCCCTTTGAAGTTTTTTTTAGAGACGGAATTTTAGCAGGCGACATCTGGTGTTCTAAAAATCAAAAATGCAAATGTACTTCTGCCTAAAGAGCTTTTAATGTGACGTGATTTGCTATAGGGGGCGCTGAGGAGTTAAACTGCTGGTACAGTTGGACTGCCGCCTCTCTAAACTTGCAGATAGTGTTTGTTTCAAGGTCTGTTTGTTCTTGTATTACTCAAGCAGAGAGGACGGATAATGTTCGACTTTTCCATGGAATCACATCATTAACCACTGATCTAAAATCAAACAACCTCTGGAGACGAGATAAACTGCGCTCAAACTGGATCCAACATATTATGGAAGATGCATTTTTTAAAAGATGGTGCACCCAAAAATGTAATTACATAACTTGGTTTTGTTTCAGTGCAGTATCATTTTCGTTATGTCTAAGACCACAAAAGGAGATATTATATTTTTAAAATCATTCAGATGATGCTGGTGATTAAAAATGAAGAATTAAAAGAATAGCTCAGCCCTCCAAAAATATAATTTTTCTGTAAATTTAACAATATGTGGGTGAACTTTTTTCATCTTCAGAAGAATATCAAACAGTTTGTTGATGAATTGAGGTCATTTTTTATTAGGGCTGCACAATATATCGATTCATCATCGATATTGTAATGTGCGAGTCCGCAATAGTCACATCACAGGGATCTGGAATGTAGCTGAGATTATAGTTGATGAGAAATTACAGTTAACAACACCGTGGATTCATTTTAGAATTTCACCTTAGAGTGAAAGTATATTATTTGCATGTGTTTTTAAGAGCTGACTGTAAGAATTTGAAGCTAATTTAAGCCATTTGGTCACAATAAATTAAACATGTAGCTTAAAGATTAATTGTATATTATATAATTATTTACTCAAATCGATAGTGTTATTATTATTATTATTATTATTAATTATTATTATTATTATACAGTGATTATTTAATTTCTGCTTCTGAATACTGTTATACAATCATAAATCCTTGTGCATTTGCATCTTTTATGTTGCATTTAACTTTTCTTATAATTTTTCAAATGTATTTATTTATTTATTTATATTATTTTATTTTATATTTAATTTTATGCATATATGCTATGCTATAGAATCATTCTAACCAATCTAAAATTCTTTACGAGCCATTTAAGTAATCTGCTGAAATTGCATTTATATCACATTATATAATGCAGTGAATAAAAATATTGCAATGTCAGTTTTTAATCCAATGTCGTGCAGCTCTAACTCTTATAATGCAATCAATGGTTTCCATTACTTTGAGATTTGAAAAAAGCATATGAGAGAATGCCAAACAAATAAATGTAACTGACAACACAAAGCCTTTTGATGCAAAATGATCCGTCTGTGCATGAAACTGGACATTAGTTACATTACTATTATTTAAATGATTATTTAGTGTATTTATTTTCTTATTAACATTATTTACAGTGGATGGTCCGGTTTGTGAACAGATCATTCTGTTGAACCAATTCTTTTTTTAGAAAACCGAGAGAACACACTAATTAATCAAATAAGACTGAAACCATCTTAAACAGATCATGCTTCCAGCTAGCAAATATTTACAAGTAACTCAATCAAAACTCACTTTCGGAGACGCCTGAGAGTCGCTTCTGCTTAACAAAGGCTAATACATCAGGGCATATGCCAGCATGTATAACTTTTGCCAGCTCATTCAGCGCTTCAGTTACTCCAACAGTGCCTGAACTGAGGAAACATTTCCAACTCGGACCGAAGAACTAATGAGCCGACGGGATGCGTTTATGGTTTCTGATGGTTTATGTGACAATTTGAGTCATAATTCAACTTTATATGCTTTACACATATAAAACATTCACTTCCGTATTATTATTAGCTGCTTTAATAATATAATTGAGTATGTTACATCATTGTATGATTACAAAAACAAACTGGCGAATCTTGTTATTTGAAGCACAAAAAATCTGAACAACCGGATTTTCTTATTTAATAATTATGCACTAATTAAACGTTATACTGCAGCACACTTCCTAATTTACTCACCCTCAAGGCATTCCCAGTGTACTTTATATGATGTTCTTTTGTCAGATAAACACAATCACAGTAGTTTTAAATGTTAGCCTGGCAGTTTGATGATGTATAATGGTGTTTCAGTAGTGGCCACTTTTTGAAACTTTCACAAGCACATAAATCCATCGTAAAACTAACCCAAGAGTCAACAGGGAGCTAACGTAATAAGTGGATTGATATGGTTTTTAAAGAGAAATATTTAAAAATGTTTAAATCGTGAACTCAAATCACTGACATCTGTTTATTTTCCCGACAGCTTGTTTATCAAAGAAGACAATCAAGAAAACTATTTAGCTTGGAATTGCTGTATAACGTTATATGGTATTTTACTCTTATGCAGAGTTCACAAAAAATGTGAATTTCAGTATTTGCACCAGTAGATTACATTCAATGCCAATGTAAATTTATATTAGGCTGCATGAATGGTGTGCAATGTGTGACCCATTTCTGTAAATGCAAACAACAATGCTTTGCAGCTTCAAAAAATTCAACTAGAGTGAAAAATTTGAGGAAAACATCCTGCGAGTAATCTAGATTGAGTGACGTGGCGCTTCGAGTAAAATAAACAAAATTGAAATGGTTGATTTGATTTATACAGGCTATGAATGATTAGAAAATAATTTTGAATATTATATGAAGTAATATCTGTGTTGTTAAAAGGTATAAATATTTAACATTTTTGAATGTAACATCTGACAGAATCCATCTTAAAAATAAAAAAGCAACTTTTGGGGTCAATAATCTTTTTAAAGAAGTCTCTTTTGCTCATCAAGACTGCATTTACTTGATCAATAACCATAGTAGTATAGTAAAAACGTACTGTGAAATATAGATGCTATAAATGCTTTGAGTCTGGTGTGAACCCAGCATTTTTCTTTCGCTATAAACACATCTTATAATTGAGTCACACATACTGTACAGTCAAAAAACAGAAAAAAAATTGTTTTGAAAGGCCACTTAACAGCCACTAAAATGTTTTTGGTTTATAATTTATTACTATTTTAATAAGTTTTACATATCTATCTGCTTTATAAGACCTTCATAATTCCCTTGTTGGCATATGGGTTAGGTTTATAACCATTCTTTGCACTTTTAGGAGCTTAAAAATATGGCCACTACCCAACAGCATTGCACATTTCCATTATATGCAAAGATCCAAGATCAAAATTTTAAACTACTCTGTGTTCATCTGACAGAATAAAGTCATATACACTGAGGATGGCTTGAGAGCGAGTAAATTATGAAGTCATTTAAAATTTTGAATGAACTATTAATTTAATTTCTTGTATAGATATTTTTGCAGACAAGAGGCAGATTATCTCTGTAGTCTCCTTGTGATTTCATCATCACAAAATGCATTTTTAATAGAATGTGTAAATAGATCTTGAATATCATCTGAAAACGTTAATTTATTTTAAAAAAATACTATTTTATACCCCGAGAACACCTCGAATATATGACTTGTCTCTTGTTTTTTTTTTTTTATAAAGATAAACAACATATAATGAACATAAATATATTAGCATCAGCAGGACAACTTGTAAAATATTTTAATTTTGTGTTATTTAAAAATAACAAATATTATTTGTTATTTAAAAAAAACAAATAAACATAAAGGGGAGTAAATTATGATTTTTTAAATGAAATTATGTTTTTATTAAGTGAATTACTAGTTTAAAGTAGGCTTGTAATGCCTCATGTTTTGATGCACTCATGTGGTAGTGAAAGGTTTCAGATAGGTGTGTGTTTGTGCTTTCGAGGAGTCAGTACTTGTAGAGGTCAGGCTGGGGCTGTTCACACTCGATGGCGGCAGTGAGAACCTGCAGGTCCCTCTCAATGTCTGGCACCGTGTAGTGTGTCTGCAGGAAACACAGGCCAATTAGTATTTCAGGTCATTCTGAACACATAAATACACACGGATGGAAGTGGGAGAAACATGAGGGGCAGTAGGATGATGATGAAGATGACAAGATCTGGGACATCTATTTAAAGAGGCTAAAGGAAAGCAATGGAATGAAGCTGCATTATTGATCATTAGAAGACTGCAAGCTCCATTCAAACACCAAATGATCTTTTAGCTCGATGACTATAATCTCAATCCTTGGTAAGTATGATCACTGTAAACATTAAATCAGCACAGCTGCTGGCCTAGAGAGAGAAGCTGTTATAATGCAGCTTGAGTCCTTTTAAGCACACAATACTGCTATATCTAGTGGTGTAACAGATCGCAGTTGATCCATGATGCGTACGGATTGCAACCCACAGTTCGGAACACACGTGGCCCGCAGATTAATAAACTTTTTTACTTGTAGATTAATCCTACATTTGTAATGATCGGAGAGAGATTGCCTCTCGTCTCTTTCAAATCACATGTATGAAAACTTTTAGGATTTTCTGTAAAATATAATTATGACGGAAGTTGTTGTGGATGTTATGGGTTTCTTAGAAGGTGTTGGTTATTAATTTTTGGGTTATTAAAAGTATTTTCTGTCACTACTTGTTTAGCCTGCATTAATGCATTCAGTGTAAGCTGCACGATAAATCATTAAAAGATCGGGATCTCAACACCCACGCAACATAAATTACAAATGATGGTGATTTGCAAGTTTTTTTATCCTTCGAATTGCTGCATTCAATTCTGTGTTTGAACAAATGCAAAAATCAAGAAAGAGATTAAATATTTAGACTTTTGAATTAATTATGAAGTTACAAACAGTCAAAAATCACAGAAATACTGGGATAACAGTTCATAGTTTAGATGTAATCACTGATGTTTATGGTTAAGATTAAAATCATATGTCATACGTATTTAACTTGACTCTCAAAAATGAAAGTTGTAGGCAGCAATTACATTATTTAACCAATAGGTGGTTTTCCAACCAACCATGAAAGATATGCCACTGAATAATTCTTCAAAAATGATAATCAAGCAATAAAATATGAAGTTGTATGAGTGAATAACTGAATTATTTATTGAAAATGAGACTAAAAATAAATATGGGTTGTACAAATTATAATGTTAGATTTCTACATTTAGTGTTAGTAGTGGTAACAGTGAACTTATTACAGTACTGAATATTTCTTCGCTTCATTTGTATTATTCTTTTATATGTTTTTGTAATAAATGGAAAGCAAATTACACTTGACTCCTCCCCTTTTTTGGCTAATCCGAAAAATGTTCCAATCCATGACTGAAAAACCATAATGTGATCCGAACAGTGAGATTTGTGATCTGTTACACCACTAGTTATTTCTGTTCTTACTTTACAATTTATATATAAAAATGATTTCCACAGTAACAAACTAGAGTAAATCATCTGAAAGTAACTTTGTTTCAAATGAAAAATGAATTGTGACTGCATACATTTGTCAGCGTGTAGCGATATGTGCCTTAAATTTGTCTATGATGACTTAATCATTCATTCAATAGATGCGTTTAAAATGTTGATTCAATCCGTGGTGAAACAAGTAACATCTTGAGTCAAACTAATTACTGTAAGAGACTGTAGCACTTACACATTATTTGATTTAATTCTTCACAACTAAAAGGAAATTCTGATCTCTTTTAAAAAAGAAAACTCTCAATTTATCCATTTTTGATGTGTCTATGACTGTACATTTAGTCTGCAAAAGATATTTTTGAATCAAGAAAGAGTCAGTGTTCAGTCACACTTAACAATAGTTTCATTAGTCCATGTATTTATTAACATGTTATAACATTATTTATCATAGTTCAACATTCACTAATGCATTATTAAAAATCCAAATTAATTAATGCACTGCGAGCTGACAAACTACCAATGAACAACTTTTTATTTTATCAAATAAGCCGTTAACAAAGATGAATAAACACTGCTATAAATGTATTGTTCATGTTAACTAACATCAACTAATACAGCAACTTTAGATACTCTCACTGTCCACTTGAAGAACTCTCAATGTCAACATTTTAAGAACATGGATGTATGCTATAAACGCACTCAGTGATGCTGTTTGTGTCCAAGCAGACTAAAAACAAATAAATAAGCAGCCCAAAAAAATTAAAAAAGAAATGTTCCAATGCTAAGCGAGAGGTGCTTAAACTCACTTTATGGTTGGATTCTCCATCCAGGCTGGCTGTGGTAACAAAACAAGTGCCGTCTTCTCGACTGGACTGCAATAGAATCAGGTCACAGGGAAAGGTCTCGTCCTCCACCACTTCAACCACATCTCCCACCTGATGCGAACAATCATTTTGACATTAGTAACATTAGTCAATGGCAAGTCCATGAATTAAAAATACAATTATAAATGTGAATAATTAAAACACTTAATTATTTTAAATTATTGTTTTATTATGTTAATTATTTAATCAAAATTTAAATATATGAATGTAAAAATAAATAAACTGATAAATCAAGTAAAATGAACTAAATAGAAATCATTGATTTGATTAATATGATAATTATGAGGCTATGAATGATCAAAAAATTATTTGAAATACCATTTAAATTAATACCAGTGCGGTTAAGAGTATAAATATCTAGCATTTTAGAATGTAACAGCAATCTGAATCAATCTTAAAAATAAAAATGCTACTTTTGGGGTCAATAATCGTTTTAAAGGAGTCTCTTTTGCTTATCCACACTGCATTCATTTAATCAAAAACCTTAGTAGTAGTAAAAACCTACTGTAAAATATTACAATTTAAAACCTGATTTCCATTTCAACACACCTTAAATGCCCCAGTTTATCAGTATTATATCCTCTATCAGAAATCAACTGTGCTTCTTAACATGTTTGTGACACGTTTTTCATGACTAGAAAAGTTGGTAACACTATATTTTGATGGTCCATTTGAGTATTAGTAGACTGTCTGCTTAATATCTGTTGATACTGCTGCTAAACAGACGTTTAACTGACTAAGAACTATGTCGACTTACACTAACCCCAACCTAACAGCCTATTGTTAAACTAATGAGAATTAGTTGGCATTTAGATGCAATGTTATATAAACAAACAGACCATCAAAATAAAGTATGACCAAATTAATTCTATAAAAGAGACTCCTGAACAGTAGTGTACGGTAACAAAGTAATCAGCTAAACACACACAAAGAACGAACATTAAGCTAGCTGTATTGCCAAGCACCTCCAAACATCTGTGACCGTAAGAGTTTGACAGAGGACTGCGCATTTGTTCCATTCCTTATACAGCAAAAGAATGGCTCCAGGCAGTGAACGCCCCTAGTGGGCATAATTCATTAGCACATGTGAAGTATGGCAGCTTGCCACACCCAGCTCCCAAAGTGCCGCTTATAAGAGAGAGTTGGCGAGGGTGCAGTAAACTGAAAGGTACCTTGATCTTCTCGCTCTCCTTCTTCACCGACCGGCCGTCCTCTAGCACAGTCACCGGGTACTTGTTCACCTCGTTGTCTGCTTTATGCCGCAGCCAGTCCTCATAACCCTAGGAGAGATGCAGAGAATGAGAGAACTTGTGTGGGTGAAAAATGCAGAAGGTCAAATGAGGACCGGGACATGTAAAAATAAAACTATTTTCTGAGAAATACACCCATGGTGAACTGAGTCTAGTTTCCATTGCATACAGAAAGATACGTCAGTTGTCCCCACAGAAATTCACTCTCACTGTCCAATCGTTCCTCGTATAAGATTTTACTTGAACAAAAAAGTAAATATTTAGAAGAATGTCTGTAACAAGATATTTGACTACAGCCATTGGAAGACATCCTATGGAAATTACCACGATGTCTTGTCACCAGCATTGTTCAGAATTATCTTCTTTCGTGTTTAACAGAATAAAGAAACTCGTATAGGTTTGGAACAAGAGCAAGGGTGAGTAAATAATGACATTTTTTAGTTTTGGGTGAACTGTAGTGATGGAAACCGGGGTAAAAATGCTTTTTTGTTTTAACTATCATGAGAAAAAAAAACTAGTTTGATTAAATTCAGCAATAAATATATTTATAAATTGTGTGTGTGGGTGTGTGTATCAAACACAAATCACAAATGGTATTTATCCTAAACAACATCAATTTTAGTATGTGTGCCAAAGTAGGTGTATAAATGTAGGTGGAATATATTAAAGCCAAACAAATGCCTCTCATTCAGAATGAATACAACCTTTTATATAATTTTATGAAAAGCAGTTTAGCAGCCAAATGTAAAACATGCAAACAAGGCTTTGCACTTCATTTGAAAGCCATTATGCACATAAAACACCATCACTTGTCAAATTGGAGTATTGGTGCAACTGGCACAGACTGGATCACTGACCATTTAGACTATGCAGAGTTAGGCCCAAACTCCCACCTTTATTGGGACCTACCACTCTTTAGGAGTAAGTATCTAGTAAATGTATTTTCATTTACACAAATTAACACTTAACACTTAAATATCATTTAAACCACAATAAAAATCTTCACAAAAACACTTAAACACTTAATTCCAGTACTTCATTGGATTCAAACACTTAGGGCCCTATCATACACCTGGCGCAGTGTGGCGCAATAGTCTTTTGGTAGTTTCGGCTTGGCGCAAGAGTGGTTTTGAGGCGTTGCGCTACGCTGTTTAAATAGCAAATGCATTAGCGCTCATTTGTGCGCCCATAGGCGTTCTGGTCTAAAAAGGAAGGCGTTCTGAGGCGGACCGCTGGCGCGTTGCCATTTTGAGAAACTAAAATAGATTTTTCATTAGACCAAAACAAACCCGGTCTAAACTCCGGCGCAGAGTTGCGCCTCGCTTACGCGCTGCTCAATACGCACAAGAGCAATAGGCAAATATCTTTACATATGAAAAAAATTAAATATTAAGGATATATATATAGAATATAATATGAATAGATATAGAATATAAATATAAAGGATTAAAATATTACAAAACATATTATTTTCTAGCCTACATAAATATGAAAAATCACTGCTTTTATGTCTTCATCTCGGGAGGCTTTTTCAGTTCATTCATAACAATTTGCTTTTGTATAATGTTATTATTATTAGCATTATTATTATTATATCCATATTTATATTTGTTTTATTAAAAACAAGCTTAGATTTGCCCACCTGTCAGGTTTTAGACCATATGGGGCACAGCATGTGTTTGAGGATATAACTCAGGCTTTTGAGCTCATTTTGTTATTATTGTTCATTTATTCATTTGCTGGAAATTATAACTGAATTTAGAAATGGTTTTGAAACTAATCTTTGCGCTTACAGTAACAAACAAAATTATTTATTTACAGACTAATTGATGTCTGTGCGTAAAGGTTTCCCTATCAAAGAGCGAATGTGAAAGTAGTTCCATTATCTCTCATTCTCACGCAGTAGATGCTCTGTTTAACAGTTTTCTGTTAAAAAACTGGTAACTGTTTGCTTGTGAAATGCTCAGTTTTTCCACTTAGACTTACTTTGCGTCCTGTAAATAGCGAATGTGCTCTTGGCGCGACGCAGCTGACTCTTAAAGGGAATGGGAGATGAGACTCTAATTGGTTTATTTTCAAAACACACCTATAACTCATTAGGAAAATAAACTCAACCCTTTTAGACCATGCGCCACGGCGCAAGGCAGACTTCCCGTCCTTAAATTAGCAAAAACGCGTCCTGACACGCCCTGAAAGCGTTTGCGCCCTGCGTTTTGCGCCCTGCGTTTTGCGCTCTGCGCATGGACCGTCAAAATAGAGCCCTTAATCATTAAAAACATAATAAACACACATTTTTTTCCGTCAGGCACACCACAATAGTTTTACCCATTGTCGCCTGTCACCACCTTGTCGCTTCTTACTTCTTCCAAAACAAAAGGATATGTTTTTGGCAAAGATCAACCCATATGAAACAAAATTGTTGTTGTACCTGTGTAAATGTTAAACATTCTTTGGAAACTCCAAATATAATTAATATAGGTTTAATCAGATGAAAAAGTCTACTGAATGAGTTATGTCATTATGTATTTCATGATGCCTATCTGAAAAAAACATGAAATATTTTGTTCCAGAAACTCTGTAATTTAGGACACAGAAAATAGGAATCAGACAGGTTGGAATCTAAAAACATTTGGCATTTGTTACCCAATGGCGACACTTCTGGAAATATTTTATTCAGTTTACATGTAGAATAATGAAGGCAGCTCAACATTTGGTGCATCTCTAATTGTGTCCTCAATGTTAATGGTTATATTTCAGGGCTTGATCAATCAGAGACTACTAGGCTACAGTCCATCAGCCTTTGTTTTCAAAAGTCTGCATTAAACAAGAGAACCCTGAGTTTTCAAACTAAAATGGGGTCTGAAGCATTTCCAAAAGTCTCCTTTCTTAAGGATATTAAAGTACAAAGTAATGTGGACACCAGGAGTATCCTTATCGAATGCTGTGCTTTTCGAAACCAAACTGTACGAGTGTAAACCTAGGCCGAGTTCAAGGAAGAGAAGTCATTTGAAGTCAGAATTGGCTGGGGTCACACGGGCCCCCTGGGCTCTTATTTCAAAGCCCAATTAAAGCCTGAGCCCCTCTCAGTGTGAGGCCTCAGTTATCTGGAAGGAAGTCCACCTTCTATTGTGCGTTTTGAAAAAGCACGCGGCGGGCCACTGGAAAAAGTTGAGCCTGAAACAATACATCTAAAGCTGCGAGAGGACCTCCGTGTTGTGACAAGCCCCAGGATCATTTGTTTTGTGTGTGAGAGATGGACTCTAGGGTCAGCCGGACTCTCAGCTGGGGTCGGCATTATTTAAGCAGTGACACATGGCTATAAAACAACTGCTTTCTGCAAGAGAAACTAGAGGCTAGAGGGGAAAAAGAGAGAAACAAGTGAAGAAGAATGGAAAACACAGACGTCATGCAACTAACCTGTTTGATGGCCGTCACCGTGATGACAAAAAACAGAGGTAAACCACTGGTAACAGGGCTGGTTGGGGTATCAACAATCACCTGCAGGCAGACACACAAATATATATTGTTAAAACAGCTTGATTACACAATGAAATTCAAATAGATGTGTAGAAAGTTAGGTATTTTTGTTATACAGTGGAAACCTATTGCACTTTCAGAGAGCTGAAATGTGATGCTGGCATATGTTGGCACTTATTTTAGTTGTACTGTTCAACATGTCAGTAACTTTTAGCTATCTGTTACCCATTCCTGTGGGTGTATTTGCCTCTATATCAACAGTATTTTGTGGATAGTTGCATCATGTTCCTTCCTGCTAAGTATCATGAAAAAAAAAAAAAAGAAAAAACTTTACATTGTAAAAACTTTGCACAGAAAGGTTGTTAGGCGACAGTGTCACACTGCTCTTGACAACATGTACAGTACACAGACAGTCAAAAGTTTGGGCTTGGTGAGACTTTATTTATTTATTTAAATAATTGTTTTATTCCTTCCAGATACATTAATCATCAACATTTAAGAGTTTCTTAGTTTCTGTGCATGAGAAAAAAAATATTTTAGTTTTTATTCTAAAAACTACAGCTGAAATTTCTTTCAAAAATTAATGAAATATTGTTTACATTCATTTCAAATTAGTACAACATACAGTTTAAGTCATTCTTATTGCACTCCAGTGAATTTCAGTACACAATTTCCAAATTATGTTTAACAGTGTATGGAATTTTCACAGTATTTCTTCTGGAAAAAGTCTTATTTATTTATAAAAATCGTATTTATTATTTCGGCTAGAATAAGAACAGCTTAGCCCTTTAAGCAAATATACATATTTTTTTGTATTTGTATTTATATTTTTATATTTTCATACAATGACTTCCCTAATTACCCTAACTTGCCTAGTTAACCTAATTAACCCACTGTACTTAAGCAATAACTAATTATGTTAATAAACAGAAATTTGGGGGAGGGGGAATAAACAGAAAATCAATTGATTTTCATTCACATGACAAATAAAATATTTGTTATTCTGACCACACCACACCACAAAAATAAATTCTCTAAATGGTAATATCTTTGTTAGAAATTCTGTGAAAATATTATAAAGTTATCTTCTTTATAGTACAAAAAAAACATTACCAGTTTACCCGAATCCATGCGTAATGAATCCAGAAAAACTGAAACATACAAATGGCCTAATTTTGGGTGTACTCACACAAGGCACAATCTCCATACAATGGAGATTGCTTTAGTTACAGTATATTGTTTTTGTATTATTTTAAGTCATTTGAGATGCCATGACACACAGCCAAATCTTTTGCTGAACAGATCCACCACATTTGATGCTCATAAAAAAGTCATGGTGCTGCACAAAAACTAGAATTGAAAAATAATTTTCGTTAAATGAAATAAAAATAAAAGCGAGTTTTTTTTAAAAAAACTGACTGAAACTGTAT